AGAGGGAGTCCGCAACAAAAAAGCTGCACTCACAAAACAACTTACGGAAGGTAACGTTGATATTGCCTGTATACAGGAGACACACCTGTCAGAAAAGCACAGATTCTGTATTAGAAGCTTCCAGTGCTTCAGACAGGACAGAGAAAATGGTCCCAAGGGAGGAGTCCTCATCCTAGTAAAAAACAACATCCCAGCAGCTAGTCTTACAGTGGACACAAAACAGGAGTCTGAGATCATGGGTGTCAGGCTTAACATTGCAGGCAAGGAAATTGTATTATACAATTGTTACTGCCCGCCAAGCAAAGAACTCTCATTATACAACATGAGAATCCCAGATGACAACTGTATCGTTCTAGGAGATTTTAACAGCTGCTCTCCAAGCTGGGGATATACACAGCTCAACGAGAGAGGAGAAGAAGTGGAGGACTGGCAGACATATGCCAGACTCCAGCTAATCAACAAACCAGATGACTCCCCATCCTTTTTCTCCAGGAGATGGCTTTCAACCAGCCGCCCAGACTTAACATTTGCCACGTCAGACTTGGCAAGCAACATACACAAAACGGTGCTCAGCCAACTAGCAGGTAGTGACCACCGACCGATCCTGATTTCTGCTTTAAATATGAGAGGCCTTCATTCGATGCCGCCCCCTCGTTGGAATTACAAGAAAGCTGACTGGAACAGTTTTGCTAACCTTGCTGATGTATACTCGATAAATGTAAACGGTAAATCAAGTCAGGTTGCTAAATCAGTAAAAGAGTTTACAGAAGCTATATTAAAAGCAGCCAAAGAAACCATACCTCGGGGTTCAAGGAAAGATTACATCCCATTTTGGTCCCAACAAATTCAAGACCTCCACCAAACTCTCTCAGAAGCAAGAGATAGAGTAGAAAGCAACCCAACGGTAGAAAACAACATTGCTTACAAAGCAGCAGAAGCTAAACTAAAAAAAGAAACACTTCAAGCAACTAGGAAGAGCTGGCAAGACAAAACCAAGAGCCTAAGTTTTGAAAAAGATGGGTCCAAACTCTGGAAACTAGTCAAGTGTCTAAATGGAGAAGCCCAACAAGCCAATCCAATAGTAATAAATGAGGGCAATGAGATCAGATCTGGAAACGATGCTGCAAATATCCTTTTAAATCAGTTTAAATCTGTTAGTGATATTAATATAGAAAAGTCCAGAGAAGATGAGGTAGTACAAAGAATAAAAGAACTCGAGGAGGCCAGCAAGAGTAAACCAGCAGAGAGCATCATGACAGATAAATTCTCAATGAGTGAACTTAACACAGGACTCAACCAGCTGAAATCCAACCAAGCCCCTGGCCCCGATAAAATCACGAATGATATGTTACTACACATGGGTCTAAGTGCCAAAAAGAAATTATTAAACATCTTTAATGCCAGCTGGATTTTTAGTATAGTTCCTCCAGCCTGGAGGAAGTCTGAAATCTTCGTAATCCTGAAACAAGGAAAGCCGAAGAACAACGCAGACAGCTACAGACCCATCAGCCTCACTAGCTGTCTGTGCAAACTATTTGAAAGATTATTGAACAACCGACTGACCTGGTTCCTAGAGAAAAACTTCAAACTAATGGAGGAACAGGCAGGTTTTCGACGTTGCAGATCAACAGAAGACCAAATTACATTTATTGCTCAACACATTGAAGATGCATTCCAGGAAAAAAAGCACACTATTGCAGTCTGGGTGGATATGGAAAAGGCCTTCGACAAAGTGTGGAAAAATGGGCTGAAACAAAAGCTACTTGAAAGTGGAATATCCCATCACATGCTTGGGTGGATCGTAAAATATCTTGAAAATCGATCTGCAAGAGTCAAGATACAGGGTTCAAGGAGCAGATCAGTCTCAATGACACATGGAGTTCCACAAGGCGGAGTTCTGTCCCCAATTCTTTTCCTAGTTTACATTAACGACATAAAATCAACCCTCTGTAATGGAGTTCAAGCCGTTATGTATGCCGATGATCTGGCGCTACTGAGTTCAGAGGAGGACACTGAAAAAGCACAGACAAGGCTTCAAGAATCCCTCAGAACTCTAGAGAGGTGGTCCAATAGCTGGTACATGCCTGTAAATGGGGCCAAAACCACACACACCATTTTCAGTCTCTCTACCAAACCCCAGAAAGTTTCACTTAGATATGGCAGCCAGGCACTGATACATGATGACTCACCGTCATATTTAGGAGTAACCTTTGACTCAAGACTCACATGGAGAAAACAGATAGAAAAGACACAGAGCAAGGGACTCAAGAGAACACAACTGATGAGGAAGTTAGCTGGAACAGACTGGGGGGCAAACCTCAATGTCCTTAAGAGGACCTATACAGGCTATGTGAGGCCAACACTAGAATATGGAATAGCTGCTTGGGGCACAGCAGCTAAATCAAATTTTCAGAAAGTCTCAAAGATCCAAAACCATGCTCTCCATATTATGACAGGGGCAATGCGCTCCACACCCATATCAGATATGGAAACAATTACTGGTCTCCATAATCTGGAAGATAGGAGAGACACAAAGATCCTCACCCAGCTCTCCAAATACCACCACTTTCAAGAACAACCCATGTACAGCCGACTGCAGAAACCCCAGAAGGCTAGACTAAAGAGAACTTGCTTTATTAAGAACGCAAATGCCAAGCTCGCTGTCCTTAAACTCCCTCCCATAATACCAAATGTTCCACTTAAACCTTACAACGACTGCCCCGCTTGGCTTAGGGATAGCCTACCAACAGTCAGAACCACTGTAACAGGGGTCTCCTCCAAATCATCAATGAGCAGCACTGATATGAAATCAACTACAGAACGAGAGATCAATAGACTTTACCCACACCAGAGTTGGATTCGAGTGTATACAGATGGTTCAGCCAAGAGAGCAGTAAGAGACGGAGGAGGAGGAATATACATAGAATGCCCAAATGGTTTTAAAATCAACCAGGCTGTACCAACAGGTTCATATTCCTCCAATTACAGAGCAGAGGCAGAAGCACTTCTAGCCGCATGTTCTTTCCTGAATGGACAACAGCACAGCAAATATAGCAGAGTAGTCTTTCTGACTGATGCTATGTCAGTTCTACAAGCAATTGTTAACCCAAAAGACACTCAGTTTGTAGACTTGACGCAACAGCTTATTTACTTAGGCTCTTCAGTAGAACAATCTGTTCTGCAGTGGATTCCAGGTCACTGTGGCTTGGAAGGCAATGAAATAGCAGACAGATTGGCCAGAAGCGGCAGTGACATGGTACAACCAAATAGCGACTTAACCCACCAAGAGATGAAAACACTAATACAATCTAGTATCCAAGAAAGGTGGCTGGATACCCACAACAGATTTTCTCCCCAAGACTCACTTCATCGCCTCTCTAGAGAGGGACAGTCTATTATATTCAGACTAAGGACAGGGCACAACAGATTTCGTCAACATATGTTCAAATTTTTCGGTGTAGGAAATAAGGAGACGTGTCCCTGCAGCGTGGCACCCGAAAATGCTGAGCATGTGCTCCAACACTGTCAACTGTATGCTGACAACAGAGACGCAATCTGGCCTGTTCCAACCACAATGAAGACAAAACTGTATGGTACACGAGAGGATATGGATTGCACGATAGCTTTCATAAAGGCTACCGGCCCCCTGATATAAGTTTTCTGACAGAAGGATCGAAGAAGAAGAAGAAGACAGTATGTAAGATTAACATCTGAAGGATTACAGTCTGTAAGATTAACATCTGAAGGATTACAGTATGTAAGATTAATATCTGAAGGATTGCAGTCTGTAAGATTAACATCTGAAGGATTGCAGTCTGTTAAAAGTCCAGGAGTGTACAAACAGCCAGGATTCTCCCCCAGTTTACAGCCGGTAAACACAAAGAAGAAGAAAAGCAGTTCTACATTGAACTTCTTTTAATACATCCTCTTCCCCATGTGGCTTCTGGGACTCCATTTTGGAGAACAAAGTATACACCCACTGCCCCTCCAACAAGCATATCGTAGGAGGTGACTAATTAAATGTTCTTCCTTCAGAGTCAGAGTGCATCTGCCTGAGAGGCAAGGAACCAACAGTCTGCACACAAATAAGCCAGATCTGTAAAAAGGATGTGCACTTAAAACTCAAGTTCTGGATCAAGACCAAAGTCTGGGACTAAAAACCAGAACTTTCTGTCAGAGTTTACTTCTGGTGAATGCTAAGAATAAAAATACATCTTCTATTAGTGGGTACCTAAGTGCAAATGTTTTATTTGACATTAAACTTTTCCAAATAACATGGATTTTGCACCACATTTTATTTAGTGCTGTTACTTTTATTTTGGTTCTGCAGAGACAAATGTAGATCTGCAAGAGAAAGATGTCCCAGGTACTACTACAAAACAGGTGTGATGTTTTATGTCAGTTTGTTATCCCCAAAAATGCACGATGTGTCATCTGCTATCTGTCATATATTTGGAACTATGCCAAAATCCCCTAAGTGCTAAACCCTGGTTTTTGAGACAATAGCTTTTGAACATTGAGTGGCAAAGAAAATGTGGTAGTTGCTTGAAACCTAGTACTTCATTTTGACCTATTTGGAGTAGATATTGTTCTTTCTTTTTTTTTTTTTTTTTTTTCGGGTTCATCCGCTGTAAACTCCCAAGAAAAGTTCTGGTTGTTCATCCACTTCTGGTATCGTTCCAGAACTTGAGTTTTGCGTGCATATGTGTTTTACATATGTGGCTTATTTGTATGCTGAATGTTGGTTACTCACCTTTCAGGCAGATGCACTCCAACTTTGAAGGAAGCACCCACTAATTAGTCGAATTTTACAATATGCTTGTTCAGGAGGGAATAGATAAACCCCCCCTCCCAACTGGGGCTGTGGAACCCCCACACAGAGAGTAGAAATTCACAAGTAGGCCTTTGGCATGTTGTAAAGTCACAAGTAACAGCCCTGAAAATGCACTTATATGTAAATGACCAGAATTAAATTTATTTGTAGTGCTAACAATATATACATGTTTACCGGTCAAGTCATGGGGAGCCTTCCAAGTTATGTTTAGTTTTTGAACAGTCAAATAAAGGGTCTGCTGTGTGCTAAATGGAGTTGCCTCTGGTCGCACACTACCAAGTGTCTAGCAGGTACTCTTCAGCTTCCTTTCTTAACAAGACAACTCGACGACGATGACACCGTCATACAAGTTTATTTAACAGGATACATGACTCAAATGCAGAGATGTAGTTATTGATCACAGCTGACATTCGCACATCGTTCATTTGTTCTCACAGCTCTCTATCTCTCAATGTGTAGTGACCTCTCCTGAACTACTGCAGACACCAGGATGACGGCGTCCCACTCTCTGGACGCGTCGTACAGCTGAACAGGACGACTTCTCCCATTCACTGGACCTTGATATTAATTCAGCATACAACACGGCTGACTGGAGACGGACTTCTCTTGCCGTACTCCGAAACCAGGCACTACTGGTCTTCCCGTCCCCTGGACTTACTTTGCCAGCGGGACCATATTTCCCATACCGCAATCCCGACACTTACTCGGACCTAAATGCCCGATAGTCGTACGGTATTCTAGTCGGTTAGACTCCAATGACCGACAGGACTTCTACCATAAGTCCTCTCATACTTTTGGACATGTACCGCAATCTCGACACTTACTCGGACCTAAATGCCCGATAGTCGTACGGTATGTTTGTCCGTTAGACTCGAGAGATTACCTGGACCCTGACTTGGTCCCTGACTCTCGTTTTCTCTCTCTTCTCGCTTCTTGCTCTATCTTGACTGCCCCCGAGGGGCTTTAGCCCTCAGGCTACAGCTCACTCTCTGGACTGTCTACGCAGCCCAATTTATATATGTCGAATCCGTGTAGGTGGATGGTGATTACACGAGAGGCACGCTTGTGTGGGCGTTCTCGAGGACCACGCTTATGTGGGTGGCTGATGTTACCCGAGAATCACGCTGTCACTTAATTCACACTTTATCTCGTTATCCACGCTTTCAGCCCACCACACAGAATCCTACGCGTCCACTTTCTCTCGTGCAAGCACGCCTTGTTCATGAATAGACGTTTTCACTGGTCTCCTCTTAATACTCGGATCATATTGACACTCTTTCCTCGTGAACTTACAGGAAGTACAGGTATACCGTTGTCCCTTCCCACAATATCACACTTAACCCAAATCAGCGCGCAACAGGGTCCTTTATTGGTTCTTTTTTTCGCTAATACAGTTTTGTCCTTTTTAGGACGACATTTTTGGTTATTTGCCGCAATATTGGCAGGCCATAAATATGGCCAATTGTCTGAACGCGATTTCTGTGACCTCTCCACGGCGATCCTCATGCGCATGGTGGCACTTTGTGTCATCGGGTGTTTATCGCTTGTGTGATGTCCAGGTGGGGTAGAAAGTCGGCCAGTCAGGGTCCTTTACGTCAGTTGCAATGCTGGAATATGCTGCTAAAATACATATTTGTTTAGACCAGTCAGCACTCAGTAGCTGGTGCAGTCAACACCCCGTCAGATCACCTTTACCTCCATGAACATTTGCTAGTGATTATTTTAGACTGGACCGACTTTGGAGCCAAGGTCAGTTATAAAAAAAAAATCTTTCTCAGTGTGGTTTCGAACCCAGCTAAATAGAAATAGATCAATATTGGCAAAGATCAGGACATTTTTGACAGAGCATAAAAACATGTTGTTGCATGTCCCTTTCATGTTGCCACAAACCATTCCCAGCATTTATTGGCAGTGGTGTGATTTTACTAGACAGTTTCTTTTCCAGCCTTTACTCTTAGAAGGGCAATTAACATATTGTATTGTGGTTTACAGCTAGGCTACAAAATGTGTGCCTTGTGCCCCAACTTTCAGCAAGCACCTGATTAGTCACTGTTTACAGCATGCTTGTAAGGGTGGCAGTAGGTCTGTGCTTTATCCCTCCAAAATGAGGCCTAGGAACTCGCACAGAGAACTAGAAAATTTTATTTTTCAGTAGTTTGCCATTGCATAGAAGTACATTGGGGAGGATAATAGCCTTACCCTAGGATGAAGAAATGCAGCCTGAAAACTTCATGTTATTGCAGGACAGAGCTGGTCCTTAATCGTGTTGACAGGCGGACAAAATACTGCTTTTCTGATCCGGAAGCTGTTACAGCATGCTTTGTCCTAAACTTACTGGTTTTACCCTTCTTTTGAAATAAAATAAAAAATAAGGCAGAGAAAGGTATCATGCTGCATGGGCAACCCATGCTGTCTGCAACACTTTTGTTCGAAGCTTTGTGCTTTAGAGAGGGGGAACTTCCTCACTGGTCTCAGTTGTCTGTGATGCTCATGCTTCTCTGTAAAACAGTATAAAACTATCATCTGGAAAGACGGAAAGTTGAAAACAAGTGTGCATTCCTTTTTGAATAGTATGATGCTTATACTGTTGTCATAGCTGAGCAGTCTGCTACAAAATTGTTTGCAGCTAACTACAGACCTGGTATGTCAGGACTGTGAAACTGCCTTCACAACCCCTAATGTACAGATCGTACCTTTACCAAAGGAGTCTGAGAGACTCGACGATTGTGCAGCACTAAAGGTATATACCAGCTGACATCCTACAAGAATGCCTTTTTTTTTAAAATAGAGAAAAAAGAAATCTGACCAAAAGGAGCAACCATACAAAACAAATTGTAGGTCACAGTTGAAACTTCAAGAAGTGACTGGCCTAACGCTTTGTGTGCTATGCTATCATGCAAGTGACCCAGGTTTGATCCTTGGTCAGGTGATAGATTTTTTTTTTTTTTAAATTTAAATATCGGGAGAACTGAACATTTTGACCTGCACAGTCCATGCGCCCCTAAATCTTCAGGCTCAAGATCTCCCACCCTCACCACTCTAAAATTTGGCTCATACAAGCAGTAATGACAGGGTGTTTTTTTGTGTGGTTGATATTAAGAATGGAAGCCAAGTCATCCATGATGATGAAAAGGAAGATGATGAGGTGAGGTAAACGATAAATAGATAATCAAGATGATGAAGAGGAATAAGAAGTGTATGAAGAGCATAATAATAAGTACATTGAAGTAGAAGAGGACTTTGTGATTAAGATGAGGAATTGGACGAAGAAGTCTGTGACGATCAAAATAATAGCAATAATGAAGTGGAAGATAAATTGATAATGAAGAGAAAGAAAATTAAGACTGTGATCATAATAAGCATGATGAAGTAGAAGAGGAAGTGATGATGAAGAGAAAGAAAATTAAGACTGTGATCATAATAAGCATGATGAAGTAGAAGAGGAAGTGATGATGAAGAGAAAGAAAATTAAGACTGTGATCATAATAAGCATGATGAAGTAGAAGATGATGATAGACTGTGATCATAATAAGCATGATGAAGTAGAAGAGGAAGTGATGATGAAGAGAAAGAAAATTAAGACTGTGATCATAATAAGCATGATGAAGTAGAAGAGGAAGTGATGATGAAGAGAAAGAAAATTAAGACTGTGATCATAATAAGCATGATGAAGTAGAAGAGGAAGTGATGATGAAGAGAAAGAAAATTAAGACTGTGATCATAATAAGCATGATGAAGTAGAAGAGGAAGTGATGATGAAGAGAAAGAAAATTAAGACTGTGATCATAATAAGCATGATGAAGTAGAAGAGGAAGTGATGATGAAGAGAAAGAAAATTAAGACTGTGATCATAATAAGCATGATGAAGTAGAAGAGGAAGTGATGATGAAGAGAAAGAAAATTAAGACTGTGATCATAATAAGCATGATGAAGTAGAAGATGAAGTAATGTGCGTATGGTGATAACAAAGAGGACAATGGATTCGAAGAATTGAAGAGAGAAAAAAAAGAAGATAGGTAGAAAATAATTTGATGATAACAATGTTGAGAAGAAGGAAGAAGAGGAAGAAGGTAATGGAAAGAAGATAGTGATGACAAATTAGAACAGTTCATGAAAAAAAGGGGATAGATGAACAGGAGGAAGCTTATGATGATGATGATCATCATCAGTTAATCAATCAGTCAAGCACCATCTCCACAATAAAGGTTGGCTGCAGTGGGTCTCCGACACTCCCATCTTTTCTCTCCATAGTACACTCTTTCAGACTGCTGTTCGTCTATCTCTTGATGTTGTCCTCCTATTTGTATTGTTTTCTGCCTCTTGCTGCCCTGACTCTGACTTTTCTCTCCAGTTTGGTTTTTAAAAAAGTTTTATGTCTTTTAATGTGACTAAAATATTTCGGGTATCCCTTAAAAAAAGTAATTTGTTCAGTAACTTCAGAACCTCTCTATTTGATTGTTGTTTTCCTCCATGAAATATGAGCAATTTTTTTTTACCTCCAAATTTCTGAAGACTCATTTGTATTCTTCTTCTTCTTCGCGTTCACCAGCTGTACACTCTGGCGGTAAGTTCTGGTTGCTCGTCCACTACTGAACTGCAGTCCTGCTCCAGAACCTGAGTGTTGCGTGTGCATCAGTTTTACAGATCTCATTCTCTTGAATACAGACTGTTGGTTCCTAGCCTCTCCGGCAGATGCACTCCGACTTCAAAGGAAGCTCCCCAATTAGTCGACTCTTGGGACATGCTTTTGGGGAGGCAGTGGGTTTATTCTTGTTTTCCCCACAATGGGGCCCCGGAACCCATACAGGGTTCATTTGTATTATCTGGTTGCTTGTTAATTGTCCAGATTTCTGCACCACACAACAGGGTAGAGTATAGATAACATTTGCCAATTTTAATTTTTAATTTATTGTGTATCATTTATAGCTGTCAATAATTTGTGCATCTTATTGAAGATATTTTTAGCCATTCCTGTTCTCTTTTTGATTTCTATTTCGATTCTGATGATATATTTATGGTTAGCTTTTCCTATTAGGTTGTCTGCAGACCACTGGAGCTCCACAGAACAATTTAAAAAGGTCTGTGATATCATTTCCATACAAAATGCCCAACTTTAGAATACATTCAGATTCTTCAGAATGACTATTTAAAAGTTTGGGGTCCATGGCAGACCGTAAAATGAGAGGGGTTCGCAGGTCTTTGCTAATTGGGAGCCACTTTTTTTAAATAAGATAATCATGATGAAGAAGATGTATTTATTTGTGTTTCCAGAAAAGAAAAAGTAATGAAAGTTAACAATTTCAAGGGACAAAAACTCTGTGCACATAAGAGTTTGAATAGTAGACCATGAAGCAGATTCTGCAGAAATAATAAACAGACAGACCTACAAACACCTTGGAATCACCAACTGGAAAGAGAAGTCCAGTGAGAGAGAGATAAATGGAGGCAGGTGATATCTGCAGCAATGAAGACCTTGGAATGCTGAAGAAGTAGGAGAAGAGGAAAAGATCTCAAAGGATAACATTGAATATTTCCATTTCTCTGTTTTGTTCAGGAGCTCAGCTTCAGGGATGGAAGACGTAGAATTGACTTTATACTAGCCTGGAGTAATGAACTTGGTAAGAAGCGGCAACAAACTTTCAAGTCTCGGGCCGTTTTTGAAACCAACCTTATTGAAGAGGGTCTGCAGTTGGAGTATACAGTTGTAAGTTCTCTTTGGCTTTGTCTGTGCTTTATAGCTTTCTTAGTACTGTTTCTTATTCTTTGCTGTGCCCGTTTACAGCATGGCTGCGATATTTTCACCTCCCAGCTGACACATCTGACTTCTGCAGGCATTTATTGACCGGGTTAACCTTCCTATTTAGTTTCATGAGACATTGCAGTCTCATTGTTGTGTTATCATCTTTGTTTCCCAGGTCACAGGTGATGCCCTACATCAGGCTGGTCCAGAGAAGCCACCTTATGCTGGTCAGCACTGGTACTGGGCTCACCCAAGGCATTGTCAGGTCCTTCCATTCAGCTTTTTCTGTACCATGTATCTTCTTTTGTACTGTTTAACATTTTCTATTGTACCAACTAACTTTTTATCCACAGTGTTGCTTTTGTACATTACAATTTTTCTTTACCATGTAATTTTGGTATCTGTAACATATGACGTCTTTTTTACCCTTTAACTTTTTCTATCTCTGTGGCTGCTTTTCTGCCATTTTACAATTATGTACCAAGTATATTTTTTTTTTTCATTTAACTTTCATCTACAATGTGGCTTTTTTTTTTCTTTCTACCATTGAACTTTTCCTGTACCATGTTGCTTTTTTTGGTACTGTTTAACTTACTGGACCGTTCATTTATAGATTGGCACACGATAAAACATGTTCTGGAAAGGGTAAAAGACACTGCACCCAGGCCTGACGGGGTTACATGTTCCCACAAGATGGACATGAGCAATGCAGACCTGGTGGAGATGACTGCTTGTTTCAACCAGAGCATTAGGACAGCTTCAGTCCCACAAGAGTGGATGCACAGCTACCTGATTTCATTTCCTAATTCTGGCAAGGATAATACAACACTCGGCGGCTTTAGGATCATAACCCTACAAAATACCGTTGCTAAAGTGCTGGAGAAGATAGTGGCAGGTAAGCTACAAGAATTGTTAGAACAGAGAAATCTCCTTCCACAAGGTTTGGGAAGTTACCGGCAGCCACTATTGTCTTTGAAGGTTTCCAGAACAGAAAGGAAACAGTGATAGCAGCACTTGATTTAGAAGATGACAACAACAGAGTCAGATACAGTATCTTGATGACAGCGCTTATGGAGAAGGGAGTGTCATTGATTGGTGAACTGGATAGCAGCTGTTTTGTATACTCGTCTGGTAGCTCTCCGCCTGGAATCATAACCTCCGAACCATGTATTATAGCCCCAGGACTACCACGGGGATCTGCAATTTCACATGTACTGTTCAATATTTTCACGAGCAAGACTGTGTACCTGGAAACACCTGGAGTTGGCAGAATATTGACATTTGCAGATGATGATGTCATATATAAGAAGGGGAGAGATTGGAAAAAAATAGATCAAGAGTTATTTGCAACAGAAGATAAGGTGATCAACTGGTGTACACTTGAATGCTGTAATCAACCCCAAAAAAGGCAGCAGCCCTCTGGTGTTCTATGGACAACAGGATTGTTAGAGCTGATATTCCAAGCCTCAAAATAAATAGCAGGAACATCAAGAGAGACAGCAGACTGTGGTACCTTGGAATCACTTTTGACAGAAGCCTGTCTTTCAAGGATCACATAGAGGAGGTTGTGACAAAGGTTCAAAAAGGTCATAATGCACTAATGATTATGGCAGCACTGGACATGGAGCAGAGAATGCTGTTTACACTTTACCAGCACTTAATCATCTCAGTGATTGAATATGGACTAGGGTTACTCACTATCTTTAAGAGTCAGCTAGAGAAACTGGAGCGCATACAGAATCAGGCTATGCGGTGATCCTGGGATGTACAAGAGACACCCTGATTATGTACATGCGACACATCCTTGCCTTGCCGACTGTTGCAGATAGGCTAAAGGTGCTGCAAGCTAAGGCATAGCTCAGAGTAGCTGCTGACAAAGAGCACCCTCTGTACGAAGCTTTGGCTGCAGTTAAGGGTGGGAGGCTGAAAAGGGAAAAATCGTGGATGGCTCAAGCAGAAGACACTTAAGACAAGTATGCCTGCTGGAGAACATTAGGCTAGGAGAGGATTCGGTCAGAGTACCAGAGGAAAAGTCTGACCTATGTAGGGTCATGATCACATTGGGCCAGAAGTGCAGAGAGTGGCCAGCGGGTGCTACAGAGGTGGCCGTCCAACGGTTGATTCACGACAGTTTTCACCTAGATGATCTATTTATCTGTACAGAATGTTCTGTGTTGAGAGGGAAGAGAAGTGCCTGGGGGTTTGTAGCGAAAGCCAGTGGAAAATCTTTAGTGGAGGACAGACTAGCGTGTGATACCACAACATGAGAATGGATGCATATACACATCGGAATTTTAACATACTCTGAGAGCATGATGAGAATGGTGAGGACAGGGATGCTTAGAGCAGAGTGGCAAGCTTCACTGTGAAGGTCACGGGTAGTGAGCATACTTTTCTCCTTGCCATGCCGGCGTGGTGGGGAATGAACAGGCAGACAGATTAGCTGGATCTGCACCACTGAGGGGTGAATTGATTCATGACAAGGCAGATGTGTTCAAGGCCCTTTGGGAACATGTAACGAAGTCAGAAGAGAAACACAATTATTATGGTCTAGAGAGAATGAATGATGCATCTGGGTGTAACTAACGGGTCTGGCTGGCTAACTACACTCAGAGGAAAGGCAAGTTGGACATAAAACCAGATTACAACTGGTACCATTAGCATTGGAACTCTGCACTGGCTGCTGAAGATGAGGACGGTGTGTGCATGGAAATCCCCTGAGTGCTGTGATGTCAGCTCTTGACTCGACTCAATTCAACACATGATGGGTGATGGTCAGTCAGACATTTCCTGTTACCTACGTTACACAGGATCGACCTAGGAGCCAAAGTCATGTTCGACCCAGATTTGAACCAAAACCTTTCAGGCCAGTATGCAATAATTTAGCAGTTGCACTGCTGTATCTCTTGGTTCTTTACTTAATTTAGTGCCATTCCTCCAGGACAGATGTGTTAAAAGGAGTCTTTTTATGCCAGTGACACATCTGGGGTATGATGCTAAATTAATATTTTATAACCAACTAGCTGTACCCGGCCACGCGTTGCTGTGGCATAGTTTGGCTAAATGGAAATGAAAGAAAATAGAAATCGCACGTGTCTAATACAATCATTGTCTGCTCAGATATAGAGATAGTCTTTGATCTCCGCCCACCACCACAACTAAATCCACCTACTACTATCTCCCTCATCAAAGGTTTTTGGAAAAGAAAGACAAAGGAAATCGCACGTGTCTAATACAGTTAATGTCGCAATCATTCTCTGCACAGATATAGCGATAGTCTGGTTTTCCAACTTTAGAACACGCACCTTATAATTGTGTCTTTATATTAGTGGTCGTTTAAATGGTGTTATTAGCACAGTAACAAAAATGGTTATTTGGTTATCACATGCTAAAGCTGTTTGTATTTTTTTAGGAGACGGAAGTAAAGCTACAACTGTACTTGTGAATAACAAAGTAAGTCGTAAAAAAATAGAAAAGCGGAGGTAGCGTTAGTAAAATATAAACAAATTAGGTAATGAGAACTTGAAAATCAAGTGTAAAGCTCTTTAATTTCTCTTAAATTTAAGTCATTACCCCCTCCCCTCTTCCACCGACTACTGCTCTCTCCCTCTTCGAAGGATTTGAAAATCACTAACTGGCGATATTTTGTTGTTGCTGTAACTGACATTGACATCCCTGTCCATCTGGACTAAAATAGGAAGCAGGAATTGTAAAAGGTAGTGAATAGGGCTAGTGTAATATTTACCACATCATCCTTCAAGTACCAGTACAACAACTAAAATAATGTCACTGCTATCTGTGTTACCATCGGAGTAGAGAGTCGTGAGCCAGAAGATTTGGTTCCGCATGGCTAGTGCTGTCGCCACAGACTGGTCAGGTTAGGATGTATAATTTCACTTGCCGACAGAAGAACGCCATAACCTTACATGAGAGAACTATGGTAAACAGTACTGGTGTAACAACTATTACTGCTGCTGCTACTTTAAGTGGGTAAAGCAGTTACTGTGACTTGAAGCTCTCTCAGTTAATAGTTTGCACCCCCCTCCCCCCCCCCCCCAAATTCACCGACAACTCTTTCCCTCATTGAAGTAGTTGGGAGAAAAAAAAAAACTTGAAAAGCAAACGAACACAGGAAAAAAACACCATAATTAGGAAATGAACGCCATTGTAAACAGCACAGCTTAAAATTCCAACACAGATGAAATAACTAAATCTAAATGAAAATAAATGAAAATCTATAAAATTTCAGCGTAACCATGCAATCGGAAAGTTTAACAATGCAATCATAAGTATGCGAAATGGTCAAATTTAATTATCAAATGGTTTACCCATTTACTTGGTTTTTTTTTTTTTAATATTAAGGCAACATGGCTAGTGCTGTCACCACGACAGAGCAGATGAGGATATTATTTTAGTTCGGGGTAAAAAAAAAATCAACGACTGCAGATTCGAACCCAGGTCTACCGCACATGAACCCAGTGTTCTAACCATTCGATCAAGCAGCCACTTAATCGGAACAACGAAAAGAGAACTCAACTATTAGACATGTGAGTCCCTACTACTGTTTCGCGATTAAAACACAATTCAAAACCGCAGGCTATTGTTTTCTCGTAGACAGATACTCCAGATATATTAATGAAATAGAAATCGCACGTGTCTAACACGGTTAATGAAGTTAATGTCACAGTCACTGTCTGCGCCGACGTCTAGATAGTCCTTGATTTGCCCCCCCCCCCCCTCCCCTTCCATCGAAGGTTGTTTGAAAAAAAAAACAGAAAATAGAAATCGTGTTTAATATGGTTATTGTGGCAAATATAGAGATAGTCTTGTTTGCTGTACCACGACCTACTCTATGTATTAGTATTAGAGAAGGCGTTGGCTGCACGTAACTCGCCGGCGAATGGTAAATACGGCGCATGCGCAATCACTAACGTGGCTATAATTAGAAATCACTAAAGTTATAAATATTAGTTGCGTATATTTTGGCATTAATTGTGGTCACCTATCTCTAACAGTGACAGGTTAAATTTCAAACCACGACAGTTCAAAATCCGGTATCACAACAAACATATCTTGAAAATTTCAGCTAAATCGGTTCAGTAGTTTCCGAGTCTATAGGGGTGAAACAAACACACAAACATTGATTTTTATATATATATAGATGGGCACTCTTTGGGCAATGTTATTAACAGAACGCTGGCCACCTTTACTTCCCAAGACTTTTTCTTGGTTCTCATAATTTTGTTTGGGGTCGATCTGGGAGCCAGTGTCAGTTTTGTTCTCCACATTTGCCTGGTGCAACCCAAGACATTCTGGCCAGCAGGCAAGTGCCTAGTCAATAGTCTACTGAGGCTGCCACATCAGTCAATCAGGTGCCATCTCCACAATATAATTGTATCGTTGTCTACTTCTTTCTCCTTTGCCTTTGACATTTCCCTCCAGCATGGTTTTTAAACGAGTTATTTCATTTAAAGTGACTAAAATATTTCAATTGCTCTTTTTTAAAATTTCTTTCAGCAAATATGTTTTTTTTCCAGTCTCACCAGAACGTTTGCTTTTTTCCCCATTAAATACGGCCTATTCTTCTGTATATACATATCTCCAAAGACTCCGTTCATTTTTCCAGTTGCTTTTTCATTGTAATCCACATTGATAACATACATGAATGATATCTCCACAGACAAAGAACCGCATCAGTTATGTGAAGATCCATGCACCTTATAAAGTACTGAAGCGATACGCAGACATTCTGAAACTTCGGCTGCCCATCAAAGCAGTAAGTTCCTTTCTGTGTTGTGTACTTTTTCATGGATAATTTTGGAAGGTCTTGACACCAAGCCATATGGTATAAAACCTTTGCAGGGAAGTCTTCTCAACTTTAACTGTGATTAGATTTTTATTTTGTCTGCACTTTATTGCCTTCTCTTCTTCAGACACCCCCCCCCCCCCCCCCTCCTCTCCCCCAATTTGTTTTTCTAACAAAAACGTTTAAGAATCTCTTGTTGCCTTTTTTTTAAAACATAGTTTTTGTGAGTTAATTAATTTTTTCTCTCTTGTTCTTGTGCCATCCTCTTTTCCCCTCTTTGTACATTTATCTTCTTTAATCTTGTTTACAAGAGATCATTTTTCATTCCATTGGGGCTTCATGCATATATATATATATATGATACTTTATAGACCAGTTGATACTCCAAAAGCAGTGTGGTTAACATCATGCTGTTCCCCCCTTCTTTTCAGAACATTTTCTGACACCATTTTACCCTGAGAAGCCACGGTACCATATCTGATAGACCCTAGTCTTTAAGATCTGGGGTTCAAATCTGCATTGAGGCAGATTTAAAAAAAATAATAATAATAAAAAATTCAAAATTGAACTTGACTTCAGGTCGACAGTTTAAAATGGCTACCAGCTAATCTAGAAAGTTAGTGTGGCTGGCCTGATGTTGACTGTATTACTTTCATGTGTCGACCGGTTTATAAAACTATAGATCTAGCAATATATGCCCGATGTACCACATGTGTGTCAAGGGTTATTTACTTTTATGTTGGATTGACCTGGATCCCAGATCATTTATGCTTAATCCGACATGCTGCGGATTCATACCTAATACCTTTAGATTGGTATTGCTTTACTTAGTGTGTTTCTTATGTTATTTACTATGTTGCTTTTCCGTCGAAGTACCAACATCATTGCAGAAGGGTCACTCCATAACGGCTCCATGTGCCAGTGAAAATGGGAGAAAAAAAAAGTATTTTGATGTCCCCTTTGAAAACTAGTGATAAACTTGTCAGCCCAAGCTAAATCTTGAAGTTTGTACACAGAGCCAAGACTGCAGCTTATTGTCAGATGGTCAGTCGTGAAAGTTGACATTACATCTGCAAATATATAAGCCATCCTGAAGGTAATCGGCCATCCACCATTCTCTGCTGGTCCTAATTTGTATTACACTTTGTTTTTCCAAGGCAAGAGTAATTCAAAATAAGAAAGGCCCCAAAGACATGTTGGTCAAGCTGAAGCATAAACTGCTGAAACCTTTCCAGTACAACAAGAAGAAGCTGCCATCCATTACTCGCTCATACACCTGCCCATATTCCTCCAACAAGGAGTATTTGTGAGTGCCTTTTATTTTGGTCCTTTTTAAGATATTTTTCTGAGCATTCCTCCTGAGAATCTTATCTCATCCTGGTGCTATTTTACCATATGGTGTAAAGATGAAGTAAAAACAGCGGGAGAGTGACCATTTGCTCCACATGCTGGGGTTCTCGGGTACTGTTTTCCCCTCCCACTGTATAAGAGTATGTGAGAGAGGCCCCCGAATCATGTGTGCAGCTGCACAGGGACCAGGAATAATATTTACACCTATCTACTCCTATCTACTGTTATCCTAGAAACAATGTGACTAACGTGTTGGTGTGAATTGTAGATTCAGAAAATGGCGCGATGCCTGTCGTGCAGTGTTGTGGTGCCCGTATGTGATTAAAATTGATCGCATGGGCAACTGCTGATCTGTTGGCGACTTCTGCTACCATCAATGATGAACTGCAATTCTAATACTGTGATAAACATTCTGTGTGTTTTTGTTGGCACAGGAGCGAAGCAAAGATAGGGTGACCCGTTTGCTATGAAGCTGAAACTAAGACTACCAGACCTAGAAACAGATTCTCAGCCGGGGGCCTGGCCAGTGTAGATGGGATCGACAACTCCTTCGATGTCGAGTGTGTTTACCTAAGAGATGAGGAACCAAAAATCTACAAACAGAACACACAAAAAAGCCAGATTTGTAAAATTGATGTCACATAAAAACTTGAGTTCTAAAACAAGAGCGGAGTTCGGAAGGCAGTGAACAACCAGGACTTTCTGTTAGAGTTTACAGCCACAGAATGTGAAGAAGAAGAAATAAGAATATGTGTAAATGTTTATTTCTTTTTTAATTAATTTTTTTCAGTATTTTGTTTTCAAGATTGTTTTTGGGTGTTTTTTGAGCTTTTTCCCCTGATAATTTTGTATCTCACCTCATCTTGATGCCCTTGTATGTTGTGGAGTCGAGATAAAGTATAAACAGCTTTTTTTTTTTTAAATGATCACATTCCAATGTCACCAAGTCTTGAAAAGTTTTGAATGTACTATCATCCAGCTTAAACTCCCCCCTCCTACACCACCCTAAAAAGTAGTAAATACAGGGCAGTAAAAGCTGACAGCCAGTCAATTACCCCCCCCCCCCAAGTTTTTCTAGGCTTGACTTACTGAAAAACAAGAACTTTAAATCAGCAGTTTGTGATCACTGTGGTGTTCCATGTCCTCATTGTAGAATAGAGAGGGGGTTGACAGAGAATAAACTCACTGCCTCTCTAACAAGCATGTTGTACAGATCAGTTAGTTAGGGGTGTTTCCTTTAAAAAGAGTGCACCTACCTAAAAAACCAGCAGTCTGCATACAAGTAAATCAGATCTGTAAAATGGATGTGCAAGCAAAACTGAAATTATGGAACAAGATCGAAATCCAGATGTGGACAAACAACCAGAATTTAACTGCCTGACTTTACAGCCAATAAACTTAAAGAAGAAGAAGCAGCAGTTTGTGAGTGAAGAGTCTGGGGTCCAGAATCCAGATCTGTTCTGATTGTTTTCCCTATTTGTTCTAGATTTAACATTCAAGAGATGGCACAGAACATTTATTCGGCTGTGTGTGATGAGACTAAAATTTCAAAGAAAATTTTTAAAAATTTTTTTCTTTTTTCAAACAAAGAATCCTTGTTTGAAGCTAGTAGTGTATTGGACACATGATGCTAGACTCCAGTGTTGTTTACATATGGGCACTTGATGGGTGTTGTGGTCAACATCAGACCAGCTGCCTTTACTTCCCAAGGCATATCCTAGTACTTATTTTAGACTGAGGTGACCTGGAAAGAGGCTGAAATACAGATCTCTTTTTCTTAGTGTTTACCAGCTGTAACTGCTTGTTCATCCACCTTTGGACTTTAGTCTTGTTCCAAAATGTGAGTTTTGCATGCACATCCATTTAACAGATCCGGCTTATATGTATGCAGGTTGTTGGTTCCTCACATCTCAGGCAGGTGCAGTCCGACTTTGAAGGAAACATCCCTAATTAGCAGCTTTTTATGGCGTGCATGGGGCTGGGGGAGCAGTGTGTCTATTCTTCATTCCTTCTCCCCATCACCAAAATGACCCCCCAGAACAAAACAAACAAAAAACAAAAAAAAATTGACACTATTCTTCATGATTTTTTTCTCTCTGTTTGATCTAGATTTGATATCCCGGAGAAACCAGAACATTTATTCAACAGTGCTACCAGAAGCTGGATTGTAGACTACATCCTCAGGCGGAAGTATTTTGCTGACACAACAGAAAACAGTTTTGCTTGCGGTTGGTTTCATTTTGGTATAGAGTTTGCTGTGAGAGACAGAGGATTGGAGATTCGCTGAGTCAGTCTTACCCTATGGGAAGCACAGTAGTGTAGTAACTGGACGCTCGCCTGCTGGCCCCAAAGGTCTTGGGTTCACATCCACACTGAGCCAGATTTGTTTGTTTGTGTGTGTGTGTGCGAGCTTGTGCGTGCGTGCGCGTGTGTGTGTGTGTGCAGAATTGACTGTGGTTCCCAAGTTGACCCAGCCAGAAAGAAGTACCAGGCAATGTCCTGGAAAATAAAGGGGGCCGGCAGTATATTGACCACATTCTCTACTCTGTGCAGTTTGGGCTATAAAAATACGAGTCTAGAATCATTTGCCTTGGTGTAAAAAGGGCCCGTTAAAAAAAAAAAATTTTTTGTGTGGAGATAGCATCTGATTGATTAATTTAATTTTGTTTTAAAATCAGTTTGCTGCATGTTTTATACATAAGTTTGCTGTATGGGTTCCAGGGTCCTGTTTTAGGAGGAAAAGTACACTCAAGGCTCCTTTAACATGCACGTCATAACAGGTGAATAACTTAAAGGTTTGTTAACACCGAGGAATAAGGATCATTACGGTCTGAGGAGAATGGCCCTGTGAGGAGTTACCAGGCGATCTGGCTGACGCTCAAGGGAAAGGCGAGATGGATGTACAATCAGACAGTTACTGGCGCCATCGGAATTGGAACTCTTCACTTGCTGCTGAAGATGGGGGACAGAGTGCTTATGGGAGTGTCCTGAGTGCTATGTTGATTCTGTAATCAACATTCAACATATTTGTTGACATTAAAGGTGTTCAGCCCAAAGGCGCAGAAATTGCAGTCTATCTGTAAATCACAACACAACCTACCAACCACCCTTGTAGAGATGAATGCAGAAGAATAAGAATTATCTGGTATTTCTTCTTCTCTTCGTAGCATTGACTAGCTGTAAAGACTGCTGCTGGTTGTTTGTTCATCTGACCTAGGCTTTAGCCATGTTCCAAAACTTGAATATTGCAAGCACATCCGTTTAACAGATCTGGCTTATTTGTATGCATATTGCCGGTTCATTGCCTCTCAGGCAGATGTGCTCCGAGTTGGAAAGAAAAGTTGATCATGTATACTCTGGCCAGGCCCCTGGTTTGGGTCATGTTTTGAGGATGACCACCAAGATCTTGACCACTTTGTGTGGTTCAGCAGCTGTACATCCTGTTGGGGGGGGGGGGGGGGGGGCTACAGCTTGATGTTCATATTATAGAAAACGGGAGACACATTTTTCTTTTTCTAACCACTATTCCTCATTGGAGCACAGGCTGTCAACCAGTTCTACAGGAAATGAAGCTGTCTAGCAGGACATTTACCTAATGACCCTGCGAGTGTCAGCTGTTTAAAAGATTTATTGCACTAGCACCATCTACCCAGCACATTAAATGCCTGCATTTTCCCATTTGGGATCTGGGGCCCTGTTTTGGTGAGAAAAAAGAATAGACCCACTCTTTCCTTAACAAGCTTGTCATAAAAGCCGATGGTTTTCCTTCGAAGACAGATTACCTCTGCCTAAGAGGCAAGGAGCCAGCTGTCTTTACTGTTCTCTTTAGATTTCTCTTTTTTTCACATTTCTCTTCAGGCATCAACAAGATGGTATCAGACAAAATATACACAGCAGCTTATCCACTGCATGAGGTAATTTGTGTATGATAATGGATATGTGTAGGGTAGTGGATAGGGAGAGGACACTGCATGAGGTAATTTATGTATGATAATGGATATGTGTAGGGTAGTAGATGGGTGCAGGGCATTACATGAGGTAATTTATGTATGATAATGGATATATGTAGGGTAGTAGATGGGTGCAGGGCATTACATGAGGTAATTTGTGTATTATAATGGATATATGTAGGGTAGTGGATAGGTGCAGGGCATTGCATGAGGTAATTTGTTTATTATAATGGATATATGTAGGGTAGTGGATAGGTACAGGGCATTACTTGAGGTAATTTACATTAGATAGTGGATATGTTTTGGGTAGTGGATGGGGAGGAGGACACTGCTTGAGGTAATTTGTGTGTGATAGTGGATTTGTGTGGGATTGAGACTTTATCTGATCTAATATCTTATGAGATTGAATAGGATATTATTATGTACGAGTCACATATCGCTAAGAAATAAAGGGATCAATTTTGATCAGAAAACCACAACCCCTTCACAAGATGACTACTATATCATGTGCAGACCAGAACAAATCTTTACCCTGCACCTCAGAACTGGACACAGCCAACTATGCAACCATCTGAAAAGCCAGGAAAGGGCCACTTTCCATACCATTAGGCATATTGGATATATAGTGCTAGACCACATGTCTAAACAATCTTAAAGTTGGTGTATTAGCCATGTGTGGCTGATGTTGCTCCAGACAGAAGAACCCACACTCCAAGACTGTCCTGAATATTAACCTCTTTAACTCAGACTCCACAAGAACGCCAGTATTCAAACCTGTACAGGTTTTTTTAATGACATTACATCTGTGGGCAGGGGCCAGTATGCCTATATGTCAGCATTATTGTTTAGAGATATTATTTGGGGTGGAAAAGATTGATTTATTTCTTGTCATTGTGACATCATAATAAACTTAATGATGATGTCACTTTGCTTTCTGTGGCTGGGTCAACAAAACACTTTTTTTTCTTGATCAAAGAAAAGGAAAGCAGTTATTTCTTTGTGCCGTTTGTGTTTATTAATGACTTCCCTTTATTTATACAAAAATATGTAATTCACCGTTTTGCAAAATGAAAACTCACAAGGTGACAAATGTATCTTTTTAGTAACTTAGGATTAATAGCCAGCAGGTTTGCCTGTCTGCTCAGTGGTCATAGGTCCCCCCCCCCCCCCTTCCTAGGATTTTTAAAAAGAATTGACTAAAACTGAATATTTCTTCTGCTGCTTCTTCTTGTCTTTCTCTTGTTTCTTAGGGAAGAATTTTAGAGAATTATAACAATGCATTTCTTATTAAGAAAAGTTTGAAAAGATCTTTTTTTTTATTGTTGTTGTTGTAATTTATGCATAGCTAAAGGTGTAAGATAAACTTTTTGGACAAAAAGAACACCAGTGGAATGTAAACTTTATGGACCACTGAATGAACTGTAACAGACACTGACATTTATATGAGGGACAAAAACAAGATGTAGACAGCTTATTTTTGTGATCCAACAAAGGAAGAGGAAGAGCAGAAGAAAAAAAAACATTTAAAAAAAAGAAGAAAGGGAGGAAGAATAAAAATAAATGCAGAAGAAAAGGTCAATAAAAAATAAGAAGACACTGTCTTGTTTAAACATAAGTGTTCATGAGATGATGTAGAAATGACCTAACTTGTGATACATGACAGGGAGACTGGCAGGGCCCCGATGAGAACCCACGGAAGATTCTGTTTGACTGTTGGGCCAGCTGGAGAAACTGTTTCAAACTGCAGCCAATCGACCACATCAGGTGATAGTTTTTGTAGGTTTGGTCTGGTGTTTTGTTGAAATGTTCATGGCAGAGCTTTTGAAACTGTTGATATTAGTAACACAATTTGTTTAAACAAGCATAATTTCATCACACAGTGACTCTGTCTACTAGCAAACAAGAGGTAAGAGATACGGACATTTCTTCCCACGACACACCTTCACATTGAAGCCAACACACTAGTTAATCACAACACATAGCTTGGAAGGCTGTGTGTTACGGTAGTCAGAGGTTTGAATGAAGTGTTTGTGTGTATTAATTGCCTAACTTTGTCTCTCGATCTGTTTATCTGTCTGTCATTTCTAAATATGTACGTGCTCGTCCTTCCCTTCATTCATCCATCCATCTATCCATCTATCCATCCTTCTTTCATTCACTGCTTTTGTCTGTCTTCTCTTTTTCTATCTCTATACATACTAATCTATATAATATGTTTATTTATATATACACATGCACACACAGAAAATAGACATACATGTAAATGCATATGTGTGTTGATCTGTCTATCTGTCTGCCTGCCTCTTTATCTGTATATATTTGGTTAACAAGATTCTCCACCTAATTGAAACTCTTATAATGAATTGTTTCTACCCATGTGGTTACTGTTACTGGTGCCATCGAAATTGGAACTCTTTGCTTGCTGCTGAAGATGGGGTTGGAGCGCTTATGGAAATGTCCCAAGTGCTGTGATGTCAATTCTCAATTCAGCATTCAACATTCCTTTGTGGGTTTTGAGGCTCCATTTTGGAGAACAGAAAAAATAGACCAAAGCATGTTATAGGAGGTGACTAATAAGGTGCATTTCCTTCAGAGTCAGAGTGCATCTGCATGAAAGGTAAGGAACCAACAGTCTGCATTCAAAAAGCCAGAACTGTAAAATCAGTATGCTCGCAAAACTCAGGTTCTGGAACAAGATCCAATTCCAAGAGTGGACGAACAGCAAGAACTTTCTGGCCAGAGTTTACAGCCATTAAAGGAGGTTAAAAAGAAGATCAAGAATGATTTCTGTCTATTCTGCAGAGTGTACTTTGGTGAAACAATAGCTCTGTACTTTGCCTGGCTGGGCTTCTACACAAGCATGCTCATCCCCGCCACTGTTGTTGGCTTTGCAGTGTTTGTGTTCAGCCTGTATTCCATGGCCACAGATTCAACCAGGTGAGCTTTGTGCGTATGTATTTGTGGCTTCTGTTATGTTATGCTGGGTTATAGAAAACCGCCATGATGTGGCGACTAGATACTTGCCTGCGAATCCAAAGGTCATGGGTTCAATTCTGAGCTGAACTGGACTTTTGTTTTTTCAGGAATGACCTTGGCTCCCAGATTGCCCAGCCTTGAGTAGGTAGCATTTCAAGTCCTGGGAAGCAAAGAAGGCCGGCAAGCCATTGACCACATCACCCACCTGGTAATGATTGGTCTATAAAACATTGGTCTAACTCTATACGGCCTGTACACCTGCTTGAAGCTTTGAAGTTTTGAACAATGGATCAATATCATGGCATAGGAGCAGTAACATATTAGTGCCCCGTTCTTCTTCTTACTCAAGTCCAAAGAAGCTCAGCACAGGGTACAGGCTGAAACACTTTTGAGTAGATTTTTAACTCTAAATTTTGCCCAGGCAGCGCCGTTGGGCTACTCTTTTTGATTTCCAACTGCCAAGGGATTTTTTGCGTGCACAGCAATGCACACGGGTGTCCGATCTCACTACCCAGAGACCGGGGGGATTACTAGAAAACCAAGTCCACTTGAAAAAATCCCAGTCCTCACCGGGGATTGAACATGGAACCTCCAGCACTCAAGGCAGACACCATGCCTCAACACCACGCAGCCCCCTCGAGCACACCTGGAGGTTTGGAAAAGAGTCCCTTTTTTACTTACTATGTCAAGTGATCTTATGTTGTCACGTTTGACATCACTGGTCATTGGACAGTTCCATGTTTGCTCAGTCCTCTGTTGAGTGAATATTCCACAGTATCTCAGTTAATTGTTCGCATGAGGAGTTGATTACAATGTCGCCAGTCTGGACTCCTCTGAAGACAGTATAAATATGTTTCACCAGGCTTCTCTTCCATGTCAAGTAATAATAAACAGACAAACAAGCTTTAAGCCCGTCTTACATTCGGCCCTTCCCAGCATTCATCTTTCAAACTGCAGTTGCATTTTATATATCAAGCATGTTATGTCAATGCGGCGTTCGTGGCTTACAAGTCCGACTTGTAAATCCAGTGTACTGCGTTCAAAACCCACTGCTGGCTGTGTGGGTTTTTTATCATTGTATGGGGCGTCGCAGGTCGACCCAGCTAAAATGGGTACCAGGATGGCTGTCCTGGGGAAGTAAAGACAGCCGGCGTAATGTTGACCATGTTACCCACCTAGTGCCGATGGTCTGTAAAAATATGGGAGCTTTTTCCAATACCTAAAGACATGAAAAAAGGTCTTTACTTTTTTTTTTTTTTTTTTTTTTTTAAATTATGTCAAGCATATTATGTTCATATATCAAAGTTTATTGTATAAATGTGATTTATAAATGTGATTTATAAATGCAAAGGTATGTATGATTAATGAATACCTTCAAACAAACATGCAAGCATACACATACACACCACCCTTACATGCCCAGAGGCACACACATAATGTAAGCATCAGTTGTTTATTTTCAGGCTGGTGGGAAAAATCAGCCCTTATGAGAACAATTGAACAAACTTTATTTTCAAAGGGTCACAAATTAGGCACACAGACCTGTTTTACATTCGGCGCTTCCAAACTCTATCTTTCACACTGCAGTTGTATTTCATCAATAAAGCATGTTATGTTCATGTAATAATATGAATATCAAGTCATATAAGTGGCAGTACTAGCTAGCTTCCCAGTGAATTGTAATCCTGAATGCAAAATGAATATTGTGGCTAGAAAGCACTCATCAGTAAGCAACAATATAGACAGTGAGTCAACTAAATAAAAACTACTTAAAATAACTTTGCATAAGGAGAATGAAGTCATTTTGTCAAAATATCTATCCGCGCTTGCTAATGTACACACTTGCACTTTCATTATGGTTCGACAGAAGTTCCTGGTAGTTAGCGTCGTGTGGATATTTTCTCCAGGGTATGTGGGTGTGTTGGAAAATGAATAGGTGGACAGATTTGCTGGTTCTGCACCACTTGACTGAGCCGTGAAGGATATAAACTGGTGCAGAGAAGTTGATCCTCTTGACTTTACCCTTGTAGAATTTAAAACAGCTTAAAAACCACTCATTGATGTCATTTACTTTCCAAGCAAAGAACTGTGTAATCCAGCGTATAACATCACAATGTGTCCCTTGTGTGATGGTCGGTGCGGCTACTGGAAACTCAGCTCTGCCTGTCTGCGTGCAAACATTAGCAGGATATTTGACAATGGGAGCACTGTGTTTTTTGCTGTCTTCATGTCTCTGTGGGGTAGGTTGTGATAATGTTTTGGGTAGGTACTTGTGAGTGGTTGTGTTCATGTAGGGTAGGTACTTGTGTGTAGTTGTGATAATGTGTTGAGTAGGTACTTGTGTATGGTTGTGTTCAAGGTGGGGTAGATACTTGTGTGTGGTTGTGTTCATGTGGGGTAGATTCTTGTGTGTGGTTGTGTTCATGTTGGATAGATATTTGTGTTTTGTGTTTGTGTGGGGTAGATTCTTGTGTGGTTGTGTTCAAGTGGGGTAGATACTTGGGTGTGGTTGTGTTCATGTTGGATAGATATTTGGGTGTTGTGTTCATGTGGGGGTAGATGCTTCATGTTTAGTTGTTTATGTGTTGTGGTGTCTCTGGGGTCAAGCTGATCTGACTAAGTGTGATGTACTGATCCACAACCCCTGAGGAGCTATGGAGTTCATGCAGAGGGAGAGCAGGCTGTACTGAGTAACACCTGGTGCAGCTAAATGGGTCCTCTGAACTTTACAATTGGGTTTCATATATTATGTTCACATGAATTCTTTTTGAATAATTGAGCATTCTTTTGTTGGTGTCTTTGCATGTTGTATACTATTTTATTGAATACCTGTGTATGTATGAATGAAGGAATGCATGTATGTGGATATTTTAGGTAAGCATGAATATGTGTGCAAATGAGCCTGCTTGCTTGCATGCACAGGTATGCATTATATGTGTGTGCATGCATTTATGTATATGTGCATGCAGGTTTGCATGTATGTATTGTCCAAGCAGGTGTGCATGTGCAGGTGTGTGTGCAGGTTTAGATGTATGGTGTAGGTATTGTGTGCGTGTGTGTGTGTATATCTATTTGCAGTCAAGGCAACCTTTCCCCTATCTACAGTGTAAAAGCTAGCTGAAAAGTGTAACTTCTTGATATCTATATCAGCTTTCTATTGTGTTTGCAGGCACTTTTTTCCTGGAGTTTTGGAAGAGGGAGCAAGCCACAATTCAGTACAAGTGGGACCTGACATCTTTTGTAGAAGAAGAGGTATTTATTTTTCTTTCTTGTCTTTGTGATAATGTTATAATTCAGAATGACTAGATTCATTTCAGCTGCAGGAAATTTGGCAACAAATTGCTTGACAATGATTTGACAATGCCATGCATGTTGACCATTCAAATGGCCATGGCAGCATTGTCGTCATAATCATCATCATCATCGTAATCCCATAATAAAATGTTGAGTTACCAGTTGATGTTGACTGTCTGATCAGCTCTCTCCACTTCTATCAGTTGATGTTGACCGTCTGATCAGCTCTCTTCACTTCTGTCAGTTGATGTTGACTGTCTGATCAGCTCTCTCCCTTTGTCAGTTGATGTTGACCGTCTGATCAGCTCTCTCCACTTCTGTCAGTTGATGTTGACTGTCTGATCAGCTCTCTCCACTTCTGTCAGTTGATGTTGACCGTCTGATCAGCTCTCTCCACTTCTGTCAGTTGATGTTGACTGTCTGATCAGCTCTCTCCACTTCTGTCAGTTGATGTTGACTGTCTGATCAGCTCTCTCCACTTCTATCAGTTGATGTTGACCGTCTGATCAGCTCTCTCCCTTCTGTCAGTTGATGTTGACTGTCTGATCAGCTCTCTCCACTTCTATCAGTTGATGTTGACCGTCTGATCAGCTCTCTCCACTTCTGTCAGTTGATGTTGACCGTCTGATCAGCTCTCTCCACTTCTGTCAGTTGATGTTGACCGTCTGATCAGCTCTCTCCACTTCTGTCAGTTGATGTTGACCGTCTGATCAGCTCTCTCCACTTCTATCAGTTGATGTTGACTGTCTGATCAGCTCTCTCCACTTCTATCAGTTGATGTTGACCGTCTGATCAGCTCTCTCCACTTCTGTCAGTTGATGTTGACCGTCTGATCAGCTCTCTCCACTTCTGTCAGTTGATGTTGACCGTCTGATCAGCTCTCTCCACTTCTATCAGTTGATGTTGACCGTCTGATCAGCTCTCTCCACTTCTGTCAGTTGATGTTGACTGTCTGATCAGCTCTCTCCACTTCTATCAGTTGATGTTGACCGTCTGATCAGCTCTCTCCACTTCTGTCAGTTGATGTTGACTGTCTTATCAGCTCTCTCCACTTCTATCAGTTGATGTTGACCGTCTGATCAGCTCTCTCCACTTCTGTCAGTTGATGTTGACTGTCTGATCAGCTCTCTCCACTTCTATCAGTTGATGTTGACCGTCTGATCAGCTCTCTCCACTTCTGTCAGTTGATGTTGACCATCTGATCAGCTCTCTCCACTTCTATCAGTTGATGTTGACCGTCTGATCAGCTCTATCCATTACTGTCAGTTGATGTTGACCGTCTGATCAGCTCTCTCCATTACTGTCAGTTGATGTTGACCGTCTGATCAGCTCTCTCCACTTCTATCAGTTGATGTTGACCATCTGATCAGCTCTCTCCACTTCTATCAGTTGATGTTGACTGTCTGATCAGCTCTCTCCACTTCTATCAGTTGATGTTGACCGTCTGATCAGCTCTCTCCATTACTGTCAGTTGATGTTGACCGTCTGATCAGCTCTCTCCATTACTGTCAGTTGATGTTGACCGTCTGATCAGCTCTCTCCACTTCTGTCAGTTGATGTTGACCGTCTGATCAGCTCTCTCCACTTCTATCAGTTGATGTTGACCGTCTGATCAGCTCTCTCCACTTCTATCAGTCAAATGCAGTGAACGTGATGTTTCTGGGCCTGTCCTTTCAGCAAAATTGCTTTAGTTTACTTCTTCTACAGAACAGTGACTCACTAATGAACATAAAATTGCCTAGTAAAAAACCACCACCCAAGAAGTGTTAGACTTTGTATGAGGCATGCTGTGAAAGATGACTACTAATGTCAAGATTAGCTGAAGTTTCTGGTGGCATGTGAATGTGGCATGTTTTGTAGCACTGCATTTATTTCCTTTTCTTTCTCTTGCAAAAGAGAGCAGGAAGAGGTTAGGGTTGTACAGTAAGCAGATACAGCGGCTGCAGTAGCTGTCATGCTTACCTCCCATCCTAGTGGTTACGGTTAAGAGAATCAGCTTCGCTGCGCCAGGTTTTTTCCCCACATGGCGCAGTCTCTCTCTTTAGACTGGTTAGATGCCTACCAAGAATGTTACGCATGCACAAAACCTGGGGCTCTGGCAATGATCCCCAGGGATCTGTGTAAAAACTGAATGTGTGAACAAAACAACGCATCCCTGTGGAACCATCTCATAGCATGCAGAGCAAACAGTAGGGCCACTTTGACCTAGAAACTCCCCCTTTCTCTTGTTTCTCTCTCTCTCTCTCCTCTTTCTCTCTGTCTTCCAAGAAAGGATGTTTTATGTTCAAATTTTTAATTTGCACAATTAGTCTTTTTGTGTTGATGAATTTACTATAGATAATAATGGAACATCTTTGGATCAGTCCAGAGTGCAGTGAAAATAATCTGTGCCGAAATGATTTTCATTGTACCAGGATTTCTCCTATTTAGCTTGGTCTTTGTCACAAGTTTGACTTGTGACAAAAAACATGACCGTCCAGATTGAAACAAATGGGTCTGACCACTTGACCACCAATACCTTCACATCCATACATAAGAATATTTGGCTGTATTGTTGTGACAGAATTAGATCACATATTTCACCGAGTAGACAGACATCTTTAATGGCACGAAGGAGTGGCTATCTGCAGTGATGTACCTTTCTGTTTCCAATTGTGTAGCAACCTCCAAGACCTGAATACTTGTCCAGGCTGGAGAACTGTGACACCATGAGAGTCAACCCAGTTACTGGAGTAAGTCATCATCATCACCATCATCATCATCACTACCATCATCACCACCAACATCATCTTCATCACTGCTATCCTAATAATTACGATCATCATCTTCATCACTGCTATACTAATAATTACGATCATTGTCACCAACATTAACTTCTTTTTATGTCTGTATGTTGTACACAATGTACCTTTATATTTCAAAATGTAAAAATGAACTGTTTTTGCCATATTTAGTACACAGCTCACTCTTGTATGTTAGTTGAAGTCCTTCAATATACCATTTGAAACTAGTGAAATACATCAATCTCAGCATAATTAATTCTCGCACATGCAAAATAAATGCATAGGGCAGTGTCAGATTTTCTAGCACCACTAACACTCTACTTTCATAATAGCAGCAGAATAACAGCATATAAAAATGAACTTGTTTGTGTGTGTATATATATATATAGTACACATCTAATGACTGTGTCTATATACATATAATCTCCCAGATGACAGAGCCATATCTGCCATTCTGGAGAATGCGCTTCCCCAGATACTTCACATCCTACTCCATTATGTTGCTGATGGTAAGTCTCAATTGTTGGTACCTTTCCATCTTTCCAATTGACAGTGTTATGTTACCACAATAAATGTCACTACACACTGGGCATTCTCATGCCTGCTCAAATGCTTATGTTATCACAATAAACAACACTGCACTCTGGGCACTTTCATGCCTGCTCAGTGCTCTGAGGCAGCAGCCACTCCATGGTACTTCTATAAATTGTTCTCATGAGTAGTTGGTTATAATGTCTCTTACCTCAAAGGCGGCATAGATATCCTTCACCATGTAGACAATAGTCTTATAATGAGCCATAGGGAGGTATATAAATCACAGCCCATAGTGATTGAGAGTGATGCTAGCAAGACTTGTTCACGTTAAAAAAAGGTCTTCCACAGTGAGAACATTGGATTGCAGAATCATAGTTCCCTGTGTGGGGCCCTATTATAGGGAAAACAAGAATTGACCCACAGCCTACCCAAAAGCATGTTGTAAGAGTCGACTAATTGGGAGCTTCTTTTGAAATCAGTGTGCATCTGCCTGAGGCAAGGAACCAACAGTCTGCATACAAATGAGTCAGATTTGTAAAACGGATACACACACAACACTCAAGTTCTGGAACAGGACTGCAGTCCAAAGTGGATAAACAACCAGAACTTTCGCCAGAGTTTACAGCTGGTGAACGCGAAGAAGAAGAAAAAGAATCATAGTTGCCATAGCACCCCAAAAAATATGATTGTGTACAGTTTATGGAAACTGCATTGGCCGTGCAGCCATAAAACTGTCACTTTGATAAAAGCCAGTTTTCCAACTTTTACTGGTTTTTGATGTCATGAGATTTCAGGAAAGTGGCCAATACACCTTTATAACAAACAGCCTTGGTACTGGTTACAACTGCATAGTGTGTAGACATGCTGGGTATTATTATATTTAAAAACAAATATTTTTTTGTGGGTGGCGGGGGGTAGGTTCAAATATTTTGGGTGAAATGTCTTTTTTTTTTTTTTCCCTATCATGGTGTCATAATAAATTTTCGATGACATCACTTTATTTTGTGGGGCTGTGTCAGCAATATCCCTTTTTCTTAGTCAAAAGAAAGGAAAACAATTATTTCTTTGCCTGGTTTGTGTTTAGTGATTATTTAACTTCAAATAAAAATGTCACCTTATGCAAAATAATGACTCTGAAAATGAAAAATCCATTTTTTTAGTGACTCTAGTGACAAAAGCTAGCAGATTTGACTGTCTGCTTGGTGGTCATAGGTTTCAACCCCACCCCCCCCCCCCCCCCCCCCTTGGAGTTTTATAAAAAAACTCACTTAAGAATGCAGATTTCTGCTGCTTCTTCTTTTCTTTCTCTAGTTTCTTTTGGTAGAGTTTCGGAGAATTACAGTTTAATGACGAAATTTGGGGAAAAGTCATTTTTAGGGATTTTAAAGGCGTGAAAGTGCTAAATATTTAGGCTTACGACCCACACATGCCCTAAACTGCCCTAAAAGTGGTAAATAAAGACCTGCTGTGTTGGTTCTGGGGCCCCATTAAAGGAAACAAATTTTATAATGCATAGACTCACTGCCTTCAAAGAGCATATCATAAGAGTCGACTAATTGGGAACTTCCTTCAAAGTCAGAGTGCATCTGCCTGAGAAGCAAGGAACCAACAGTCTGCATACAAATGAGTGAGATCTGTAAAAGAGATATGCACACAACACTCAAGTTCTGGAACAGGGCTACAGTCCAGAAGTGGAAAAACAACCAGAACTTTCTGCCAGAGTTAACAGCTGGTGAACACGAAGAAGAAGAAGGTAAACATAGACAGGAAATGGCATTTATTTGGTGAAGGATTTGCAACCAGCTGTACTTGTTTTTGTTTTACTAAAACAGAACTTTTGTTCCTTGTGTTCTCCAGACGGTATTTGCCCTGTCAGTGTTTGTGGCGGTGATTGCCTACAAGGTAGTTTTGTTTACGACCCTTAGTTTGCTCACCGATTCTGTCACCAGTGTCTCATCCGTGCAACTCTTCAAAGACAATGCCAGTTTGTTGACAACTGTCATGACTGCTGTTGTTAATTTGATCGTCATCCTCATACTTAATTTTGTACGTGAATTGAAGATGTTTTTGTTTTTATACTTAATTTTGTACGTAAACTGAAGATGTTTTTTTTTTGCCCTCGTATTTTATTGTGTTTAATTTCATTTTGGTTTGTTTCATTACTTTTCTTCTTTAATGAATTGTTTGTGGTGCCGAGGGGCTGAACCACATCTGCTGGTGTACCAGGACCAAGGCTCCTACCGGTCATGATCAGTCTGTATCTCTCTGCGTAGATCCTAGAAAGAAGTATCCCACCAGGATGCCTGACCAGCTTAGATAGGATTGACGATTCAGTGTAACTGACTTTCAACCCAACCAAGACCGGACAATGAGCAATAAATATCTGGTGAAACAAAGTGCCACCATTCAGAGGAGAATCACCCAGGCGCAAGTCCTAGAAACCCCATTCAGCCATTACATTAAATTAGCCATAGTCTTCTTCTTCTCTTCCACCTTGTACCTCATCGAAGTGTCGGGGGGAGATGTAATGTTTGTTGATGAGCTCTGTCAAGAGCATTATTAAGACTGATGTTCATTTCTGTAAGGCTGTTCTTAATGCCATCACTCCATATTTTCTGAGGTCTTCCACTCGCTCTATACCCGTTGTAACGTTTTAGTGTGGCAGATAGTACCAGGGCATTCTTGTTAGGTGTCCAAAACACTTCATTTGTTGTTCTTTGATAACCTGTAAGACTGGCTTTATTCCTAGCATTCGTCTGATTTTATGATTTCGTATTCTGTCTTTCCTTGAATTTCCTGCAGCTCTTCTAAGGCATTTCATCTCTGTTGTCACAATTTTGTGTTCATTGGAGGATGAAAGTGTCCACGTTTGGCATTGATAGCATAGTGTTGGTCAAAAAATAGTTTTGATAAGATTAGCCATAGAAGGGCTTTAAAATACTACAAAACAAAATGTTGTCTGATTATAGGATGAGATTTGTCAATAGACAATGATTCCTTTCAAAGGACTGCCTCTGCCTGAGAGGCAAGCAACCAACAGTCAACACACAAATAAGCCAGATCTGCAAAATTAATGCGTACAGAAAACTCAGGCCCTGGAACAAGACGGAAGTCCAGAAGTTAACAAACAATCCTGGCTTTTGAGTTTGCAACCAGTGAACACAAAAAAGAAGATTTCATTGATTCTTTTCATTATTTTTGTCAGAATGATGTATTTTATTGTTTTGCCCCCTTGGATTTTGTCTTTTGTTTGTTTTTATTTTTGTGTTTCTTATTTTTAATTTTGCATTTGCCTTTTAGGATGTGCTTGTTAAGAAGTAGTGCTGCCCCCACCCCTGCTTCCTTCCAATAGGGATCTTATTGTGTTTCATATTATTCTTAGAAGAGGAGGTAGGGTTTGACCAGCATAAAGGTGGAAACTGGACATCGGTCTTCTTCTTCATCTTCTTTACTTCCTCTTTTACTGCTAATGGTGTCAAGGGAAATATGAGGTGCTATTTCTTGGTCCCCTGACCGCCTCCACCATGAACACATCATGCTGATGTAGAGTTTCTGTGAGATTTCCATCTTGCTCTTGATCTACTCTGTGTCCTTCTCCTTTAGTGAAGGCTTTATATAGTATGGCATCGCAAGGCATTCTTTAAGTGGGTAAACTTTTTGAGTGTGCTGTCTTTGCATGTAATTAGGAATTGGTTCTGTGACAAGTTTTCTTTTATGACCTCATACGGATATATAGATACATATATAAAAACAGAATGCTGTTGGCTGTATTGCTTGGAGGAGCAAAATGAAAAGGGAATGCGAATGAAGGGGAAAAAGTTATTGTAGAAAGTATGATAGCTGAGCTTTTGAAAAGAAACATCGTAAATACATGTGATAGCAACCTTGGTCCTGAAATCCCTTGCTCTGTTTAAGGAAAACTTTTATTAACGTGGGCAGGTCTTGCTAGTCACGCACTCACCATCGCCATGGTTTGTTTTCTTAATGCGGGCAGGTCTTGCTAGTCACACACTCACCATCGCCATGGGCTGTTTTCTTAACGCGGGCAGGTCTTGCTAGTCACACACTCACCATCGCCATGGGCTGTTTTCTTAACGCGGGCAGGTCTTGCTAGTCACACACTCACCATCGCCATGGGCTGTTTTCTTAACGCGGGCAGGTCTTGCTAGTCACACACTCACCATCGCCATGGGCTGTTTTCTTAACGCGGGCAGGTCTTGCTAGTCACACACTCACCATCGCCATGGGCTGTTTTCCATGTCACACACTCACAATTTCCATGGGTTGTTTTCTTAACGCGGGCAGGTCTTGCTAGTCACACACTCACAATTTCCATGGGTTGTTTTCTTAACGCGGGCAGGTCTTGCTAGTCACACACTCACCATCGCCATGGGTTGTTTTCTTAACGCGGGCAGGTTTTGCTAGTCACACACTCACCATTTCCATGGGTTGTTTTCTTAACGCGGGCAGGTTTTGCTAGTCACACACTCACCATCGCCATGGGTTGTTTTCTTAACGCTGGCAGGTCTTGCTAGTCACACACTCACCATCCCCATGGGCTTTTTTCTTAACGCTGGCAGGTCTTGCTAGTCACACACTCACCATCCCCATGGGCTTTTTTCTTAACGCTGGCAGGTCTTGCTAGTCACACACTCGCCAGCGCCATGGGTTGTTTTCTTAACGCGGGCGGGTCTTGCTAGTCACACACTCACCATCACCATGGGCTGTGACTCCCATGCCTCCACGTAGCACATTATAACTACTGGAAATGTGCTAGCCACCATCATCGTCACTACTACTACCACCACTACCACACACACACTCTCTCACTCTCTCTCTCTCTCTCTCTCTCTCTCACTCTCTCTCTCTCTCTCTCTCTCTCTCTCTTTCTCTGTGTGTATGTGCGTGTGTGTGATTGTTTTTTTAATTACTTTTTTACTTATTTACAAGAACAATTATTTTTTTTCTTTTTAGTGCATTTAGTATTGCTTAATAAGAGATTTATTTATGAAGTTTTTGTCTTCTAATTTGTTACTGACATTGTTTTTTATAGTTCTATGGCTATCTGGCATTCTGGCTGACAGACTGGGAGTATCTTCGGACACAGAGTGAATACGACAACAGCATCACACTGAAGTTGTTTGTTTTTCAGTTCATCAACTGCTTCTCGTCCATTTACTATATTGCTTTCTTCAAGGGGCAGTAAGTATTGTATTTATACCATTTTCACTTTAAACTAGACAGTTTTCAAATCAAACTGGATGATTTTCAGACAACCTAGGACATTTTTCAAATCCTCTTTGCCACCTATCCACGTCACAAGCTCTTTGACAAATGTGCAGTACTTTTCACCATTGCAGGTGCTGTCATTGATGATTTTTGAGTAAACTATGCCTTGGTTGTTCATCGCCACAATTAGTGTCACCATTTGGCCTCTCACTGTGGCAAGGATAATCTCGCTCTCCTTGAGCGAGCCTGTGTCCGTCGTAAATGAAGATTGAATCCACACTCATCAATGAAGATACACTTCTCCTTGTTTGGTGGAGCATGTGCTAAAATGTCGAGAGCATAAATTTGCCGGCTTAAAATCGTCGTAATTCTGTTGACGCGGTCAAGTTCGCAATGCACTTCTTCAGGGTGATCTTAAGCTTTTTGAGGCTATTGAAAATTGAAGATACGGCCAAATCTGTCCCGTTCTTCTTCATTCGCTGCTGTATCTGCACCAAAGTATCATCTGGATGTGGTTCAATGATGTTTTCAATGCGCTGAAAGACATTGGGTATCAGCTTCGCTTTGTTGTTTCCACCGCCTTTTCGCTGGAAAATGGCACTTTTTCGTTTGTAGGCGCTGATGATTTTTCTTGCTGTGCTCTCGTTGATACCAGAGACCTGAGCTGCCTCGTGGGCAGTTTCCATCGACTAACACAAGCTTAATAAAAACCTTTTCATGCCCTAAGGAAGTTCGCTTACACTGTCGTTGTGAGGTTGGTTGCTCATTTTTGGGTGCTTCCCTAAGTTTACAGGACTTTAAAACAAATGCTTAAAAAATGCATTTCTTTATTTATAGATATCGCAAAAAAACATTCCAGAAAGAATTAGGAAATGTGTTTTCCAAAACATCTTGAAAGTTCCAATATTTTCTCAAATTTTGACAATAAAAAAATGTTCTTTAATTTTGTCCAGTTTGGTTTAAAAGATGTCCAGTTTGATTTGAAAAATGTCCTAGATGTTTTGAAAAGTGTCCAGTTTAAAGTGTAAATGGTATATTTATTTTTCGAAGGGAAGGAAGTACTGTTTTTTTTTTGGGGGGGGGGGGGGGGGGGGGGGGAGTAAGTAGTATAACATTTATTTTTAGGCAGTGGTTCCCAGCCGATGCTCTGCTGAGCTGTAAAAATTCAGTATGCTGCTCCAGGAAAATGATTATAAACTGAAGGAAATTCTAGATTGAGAATTATAAACTAGAATCAAAATAAGAAAACTAGAAATTAAGTCCTGAATGGAAATTTGCCAGGTTGAATTATAATTTTCATCATAAGTTTAGATAGTTTTTGCTTGCATTGAAGGCTCCACGCAGGACACAATTCACATTACTCTGTAACCATCATGGGGGGCTGTAGTATAACCTAACAGTTGAACAGGGGTTTCTGAAACTTGCACCTTGGAGGTACTCATCTGAGTAGTGTCACTTTGTGTCACCAGATGTTAATCACTCATTTTGCGGTCTTAGTGGAGTTAAATTTCACCCACTCAGGTTGAATTTTGTACCTCTTCTACTTTTTTATTCAGCTTTTACTAGCTCCAGAATTATTGTATCATCAAACAGATAACTGAGGGAGTAAGCACCGGCATGACACGTACACTATATCATGTGCCCTTCCTGGGTGATTTTTTTTAAACTGCACATTAGAGGTTTCACTACTTCAAGAATTTCTGGAATCCACTGGACACCGAGCTCCCTTATAAGTGGAGGCTGACTGACTTGTTAGTTTATTGGATTCATTTATGCCATCCAGGCATGATCCACTAGCTCACACTTTCGGTATACAGCCACGGTCAACGCTGACACACACTCAGCCGGCGCAATCAGCAGTCAGTAGGACACTTTTTCATTGTCCTTAGCTGTACTTCAGTGTGGCTTTGCTACAACCACTCCACAACTTTCACTCCTTGTCACTCAAGATCAGTGTTCACTTTGTTTCAGTATGGATCTACTTTCACTCTGATCTCTCTGGGGTCCTGTCACAGAATGACTTCCCAGTCAGCTATTCCCCCAGACCTCGTGTTGCCACGTGAGCTCCACAATCTCATGTTTTGCCATTCTTACGTCAACTTCATGTCTCTCACTCTAGGGACTTCCCCAGTCTTGTCAGTCAGTCAAACCCCTTACGTCATACGTATTTATAGCATCATTACGGGGGAATAAAGGGAAAAACATTTTTAGATTGGAAATTTAATTGTAAATTCGGCATCATTACTAGCTGACTAGGCATTTAATGATGCTGAAACCGTAACATGTCTTCAGGTTTATTGGCAGACCTGGAAGGTACAGAACTATTTTTGGTAATAGGCTTGAAGAGGTGAGGACTGTGATGTTATTGAAGCATGTTGCTGCTATCCAAAAGGTGTTTTTGTAGCTCAAGTATGTTAGTGTTACTTAAAAGATGTTATAATTACTCAAAAAAGATATTGTTACTCAGAACTGTTACACAAAAGATATTTTGCTTACTCAGTTATGTTATTGTTACTCAGAAGATGTTGTTGTTAATCAGTGATGTTGCTGTTACCTTAGAGTGGTAATTTCCGTCACCAATGCCGTGTGCAATACTTACTGTGAAGATGAAGATGGCAAAGGGCATGCCTCTGTATCCCTGTCTAGGCTCTGTCTGATGGACATGAGATGCAGCCTAAGGCTGCAGGAAATGAACATTTCACCAAAGGAACAAGATGTTTAATCAACACAGAACAGGCGTCCAAAGCCATTTGTACACTTGTGGAGCTTTTGAGGAGGAGATAGGAGCACTTGTGGATCATTCCAGTGCTGTAATGATGATCCCAGTAATCACCTGAGAGCATACCATACTGTGATAGGTGATTAGGTAGATGGGTGGTGACGGGATAGGTGAGTGGTTAAATATTCAGATAGAAGGATGGATGGACGGATAGATAGATATAACTTTATTTCCAAAGGGCTACAAAATGGGCAGGCCGGCCCTTACAAGCATTCATCTTTCAGACAGCAGTTGCATTTTATATATCAAGCATATTGTGTTAATATTTCAAAACATTGTATAAATGTAAATTAAAAATACAAAGGCATGGAAGATAAATTCATGCCTTCACATATACGTGCACAAATATTTTCACAAAAATACACACAAGAACACACATGCCTCACCCTTACACACAGACATATAGATAGATAGATAGATGGATAGATAGATAGATAGATAGATAGATAGATAGATAGATAGATAGATAGATAGATAGATAGATAGATAGATAGATAGATAGATAGATAGATAGATAGATAGATAGATAGATAGATAGATAGATAGATAGATAGATAGTTGGATAGATAGAATGAACGAACAAACTTTATTTTCAAAGGGTTACAGATTAGGCACGCAGGCCTGTCTTACATTCGGTCCTTCCAAACTTCTATCTTTCACACAGCAGTTGTATTTCATCAATGAAGCATGTTATATTCATGTAATGATATGCATATTATGGATATGAAGTCTAAAACAAAAGCATGGCTGGTAAATATGTGCGCACGCTCACGCGCGAACACACACACCCACATAAACACACAAACCCAATTACTCACTTACACACAAACACATAGGCACCCAGTACACACATACATCCACATACATACGAACATGCACACACATGCATACATACATACATACATACAGGCACACACGTGGCCTGTCAGAAGATGTTATTAGGCAAATATGCAGTCCTAACCCATCATACTGGTTCAGAATGGATACCTTTGCCTCAGGCGTTTATTTGTACAGTCCTGTATTGTCACACTCAACAGCGATGTGAAGAGAATCCTGTTGCTGTAATGCAGAGGTCAACGCTCTCATGTGAAATTCAGACGAAGCAGATGCATAATCTATACAGACGGATCCGGTATACGCCAAGAAGAAGCGCATGTGCATTTACAGCATGCTCACAGAACAGTCAAAGAAGCCAACGGCGGCCTTCTCCATTGACAACCAGCAGCATGACGATGGAGGTGATGGCAGTGACACAAAAAAGCGGCTTGCCTGGCTTGACAAACCAAAATACACCCGCAGTGTGGGTATACAGTGATTCAATGAGTATGATCCGGAGGGTTCAGGCAGGTTCAGTGCGAAGAGAATGGCTTGAATCATTACACAGTCCACTGTCCGTGGAGTCACCTTTATTTTTGCACACGCAGGCGTCGATGGAAATGAAAGAGCTGACATGGATCCGCTATCACTACCGACGGTCAGCCTATGGATCATGCTGATTATTATCAATGCCCTCAGAGAAATGGGAAGGATAGACGACTTTGGTGGCAGTGAATCCACTCACTCGCCAGAATGGCATACTTGGGAATTAAGATCGGCACGCAAAAACGAGACGCACACCAGCTACGCCAGAAGACTTGTTAATCAACATAGAACTGGTACTATTTAGCCATCGGACGTTGGGGTACATACTGAGGGGAGGATCTGAGCACCTATGGACATGTCCCGGAGTGCAATGAGGATAACCCACTAACTAACTAACTAACTAATACTAAATACATACACACACATACAACATACATACATACATACATACATACATACATACATACATACATACATACATACATACATACATACATACATGCATACATACATGCATACATACATACATACACATACACACGCTCTAAAACACACACGCATACAACCCAGACACATACAGACATACACACATGCAGTCGCGGGCACACACAAACACATACACACACAAAAACAGGGAAACAGACACACACATAGACAAATGCAACACCCACACATACACAGATATACACACACAGACACGTACAGTCACACAGACATACACGCAGGCGCATAACCCGACACAAGCAGAGACACGCAGACATTATATAATAGACACACCGATGGAGACTCACACAGATACAAACAAAGCCACACACAGATGCACATGCAGTCATACACACCTACAGACACAAAATGGCACACACACATACACTGACACACAGAGACATACACAAACACATACTATCACACCCACAGACGCACAAATAGATAGATAGACAGACAGTCAGATAGATAGATAGTTGGGAAGAAAACAAATAGCTAGCTGTATAGATGAATATATCCATGTGTGGATTCTAAGGCCCTATTATGGGGGCAACAAGAATAGATCCACTGCCTCCCAAACAAGCAGGTCATACGAGTCGACTAATTGGCGGCTTCCTTCGAAGTCAGAGTGCATCTGCCTGAGAGGCAAGGAACTAACAGTCTGCAAACAGATAAGTCAGATCTGCAAAACGGATGGGCACACAACACTCAGGTTTTAAAGTCTAAAGTCCAGAGGTAGTTAAACAACCAGAACTTTCTGACGGAGTTTACAGCCAGTAGATGCCAAGAAGAAGAAGAAGAGATGGATGTACATGTACATGTAGAGATGGGTAGGTAAATATGAAGATAGGTAAGCAGACTTATAGATATTAAGACACCAAAACCTTTAGATATTTAGGCAGAGATTTACAAAGATATTTGTCTTTCAGTGTGACCCCGCCGGATGCCTGATTGAGCTCTGCATCCAGCTAGCCATCATCATGGTGGGCAGACAGTTGATACAGAACAACCTGCAGGAAACTGTCCTACCGTAAGTTGAGCCTCATGGGTTCTGTGACTCCATTTGTAGGGGGAATCAAGAATAGACCCAGTTTTCCAGCCTTTTAATAAAGGGGACTGGATTTTGTTCTATGTTCCTTTGGGGGTCAGGGGGACAGACCCACTCCTCTTTTATAAGCATGTCTTTGGAGGCACATATTTATTCTTTATTTTTCTTCGCTTTCACTGGCTGTTAACTCCAGCAGAAAGTTCTGGTTGTTCATCCACTGCTGGACTTCGGTCTTAGCCCAGAAGCAGAGTGTTGCATGTAGGCCCATTTTACAGATCTGGCCTGTTTGTATGCAGACTGTTGGTTCCTCACCTCTCAGGCAGTTACACTCTGAATTCAGAGGAAACATCCGTAATTAGTAGACTTACTACATGCTTTTTGGGGGTATTGGGTCTCTTCCCTCACCCCTCACAACGGTGAATGTAACTGATTACTTAAGGGTATTTTCCCTAGGGGTTCTAAGCCGTTTGTTTATGGGGAGGGGGGAGGTTGATTGAGAATTGACCTTCTGCTCATTAACCTGCATGTCATTGTGGAATGTCCACAGAAAGATGATTAAGTTCATCAAGATGAAGATGCGAAGACAGACCCAGGAGCAGAAACTGGCAGCCGAACCCTGGGAGAAGGACTATCTCCTGGAGCCAGCACGAGAAATGTCCCTGTTCTATGAATACTTAGAAATGGGTTGGTTTCCTTTCTTCATCATCATCATCATCACCACCATCATTATCAACATCATCACCACCATCATCATTCATTTGTGCAGTTTATGGCCTGCTCTTTCCAGTTAGTGATTCCATGTGTTTGTAGATCTGCCTGCTTTTTATCCCCCCCCCCCCCCCCACCACATCATCTTGGTCTGCATCGTGGTCTACTCTAGTTCAGCCTTTTATATACAGTTTTTCTCTCTCTGTTACCTGCCTTTCTCTCAACCATTGCAGTCTGTTAGTTACCCATTATGCAAGTAATTAATGGCAACTTTAATAGGTTATGAAATGAAAAAAGAGTATTAACCGGCTTGTAAAAATAAGGATGTTGAGCCATATGCTTGATACTCCTTTATGCTTGTTACGGATCGTGTAGAGTGTGAAAGAGTTAGGATTGCGAGTGCTCCCACTGATACGTGCGTTGGTGTAGTATTAGTCCCAACTAAATTCACCACCACTCAGCTTGAATGACAAGGTCAGTGTAATTGGAACAACCAAACATATCTTAATCAAACCACAAAGTCTAGGAAGCAGTAAGGAGATGATTTTCGCAGTAAACAGTGTGAAGGTCCTTGAGGACAAATCTGAAACTTTGAATACAACTGTACAACAGTAACAGCAATAGTCCGTTTCCAGAAAATGCCTAATTCTTCTAACTGAGCAACAGCAGGGAGTAAAAAATACCAAATATTGACATCGCGAGCAGACATAAAGGAAAGGAACTCACCAAAATGCCATATACAGCAAATCACTACTACTGTTTTACACTCATTCTCGGTGAAGATTAGACTCCTTATCTAATCACGGCTAATTTTGCATCGACACCTTTATCGGTCATCAACTCGACGTTGGACAACTGTAACGGTTTTTCACCAACTTCAGTATGCAGCCGAAAATACTGATGAGCCAGAATAGGTCGACCCTTCTAAAGTTTAGCAGGAACGCTGATCCCAGTTCTTAGTCTTTTGAGAACCTTGGCTCAGGTAGATAACGGTTTACATCCCAGCATATGAGCTGATCTTCACTGTGGGATCCCGGGGTAAATATCCTTCACTCGGAATGAACCACACTCAGACATACACGTCCACCTTCTTTTACTTCGTGGCTGCAACTGCTTGAGCTCAATCTAACAACGGTATGTAGCAGCTTCTGACATCTTACTGGTGGTATTAAGTATTGGTGTGCTTTAGTGCGCGACTTGCACATGACAGATCCTTTATTTTACTTTTCAGTGATGCAGTTTGGTTTCCTGACAATTTTCTGCGCTGCTTTTCCCTTGGGACCTGTGTTTGCTTTAATGAACAATATCGTAGAGATTAGGGTGGATGCCAACAAGTTTGTCACACAGCTGCAACGGCCTGTCGCTGTCAAGTCAGCCAGCATAGGTTAATTTGTGCATTTGTTGAGCTTTTTATTGTATAAAAAAGTTTGTTGTGAATCCTTTACAGGACGTTGTAGAACCAACCTCAGGATTCTTTTTAGCTGTTACGCTTCTTCTAGGCAGATTGTACGCTCGGTAGTTTGCCATTGCTCCCTGAACGGTCAGCTCTCGGTACCACTATCAAAACCAGCCCAAGATGGTCTGCTGCTAAATTGCCTGCAACCGGGATCGAGCCCGCAACCCAGCATTACACAGCTTTTTCACAACATTTAAAACATTGACGCCGATTGTTGTATGAAGCACTGCATTAATAAAGAAAGACTCTGAAAAACTGAAAATGACAGTTCAGTATGGAAACAAATCACACAGAGGTTAAAGTCGAGAGGATCGACTTCCTTGCACCTGGTTTTATCCTATATGGCTCAGTCTCTCTCTGCAGAACCCCCCCCCCCCCCCCCCCCCCCCCCCCCCCCCCCCCCCCCCCCCCCCCGCCGGGAGCGTTGCACAAAGACGTACCGGCTGGAATTTTAGGTTGTTCTTTCTTCTTCCATGAAAGGGCAATTGGCATGTTGTTTTGTGGTTTACAGTTGGGCTGTGATATCTATGCCTTTCAAATGAATATATCTGACTTGAGCCAACTTCTAATTAGCCTTCTTATATGACATGCTTATGGGGGGGGGAGGGATGTTGTTGACCTATTCCCCCACATGTGAAATGGGAGCCCAGGTCCAACAGACGAAGACTTAAAATTTAGAGCATGACACGGTAAACTCGGCGCACACCTACATCGAATGTGATTTGTAGGTTCTGCCACATGTGGATGGGGCACACTAAACTGCAAAGATGAAATTGAAGAAGAGAGGAGCGGCCGGCCGAGTAATTGGAGCATTGGGCTGTCATGTTTGATCCTCGGTTATGTGTAAACTTTCCTTTTTTTGTGTGTGTGGGTGGGGTTGGGTACAAATGAAAAACCCTTAAGGCTAAAAGGTTATGGCGCTGCACTAGCCATAGGGCCCTAAATCCTATGACTCAAGCCTTCCTTCCCGCACTCCGTGCCACCCTAAAAAATGCAGACAGTAAAGAAAACATAAGAAGAAGTAGAATAAGAAGATAAAGAAGGTTATCTTGTGTTGATGTTTGATAATGTGTTTCATGCCAGGTGTGTGGTACAGCGTGCTGTACGCTATATCCAGAATCGCAATCATTACCAATGTGAGTACTTACAGACTTTTCTGTTTCATACTCTAATTCTTCTTCTTCTTCGTGTTCACCCGCTGTAAACTCTAGGTAGAAAGTTCTGGTTGTTTGTCCACTTCTGGATTTTAGTCTTATTCCAGAACTTGAGTTTTGTGTGCACATCTGTTTTACATATCTGGATTATTTGTACTCAACTCCCAGAAGATGCACTCAAACTTCAAAGAGAACACCCCTGATTAGTCAACTTTTACGACTATATTCGGGTGGCATTGGATGATCTGTTACTTTACCTCCAAAATAAAGCACGGGAACCCACACGGAAAAACTGTTCTTTTTTAAACTTGTGTGTCACAATTACAAGCCATATTGGTCACCAGAACTGGAAGTGCTTCACGGTTCGCTCTGTGATGCTAGAGATAGCATGGAAGCTGATCCAACAGACGAACATGTGAAGCAACACAACAAAGCAAGGGCTCTCTATGTCAGAGAAAGAAACCTACAGTGTAGAAAGTCCTGGAAAGAAAAGACTGCTTCTCTGAACATGGAAAAAGACACCACAAAATTGTGGAGACTGACAAAGGCACTTAATGATGACAACCCATCTCATGGAAAAACAGTTCTCCAACAAGAAGGAAATCTACTCACAGGGAAGGAAGCAGCGACTCCGATGGCCCGAAACTATGAGAAAGAAAGCTCATATTCAGTAACCCTGGAGCAAAAGAAAGCAGTCCGAGATGGGATAAACTCCATATTCAAAAAAGCCTCTTGTGAGCCATGCATGGAGACAGACATCACTCTAACTGAGCTACTAAGAGCAATGAGAAAACTCAAGTCAAAGAAGGCACCTGGCCCAGACGAAGTTTCAAACGACATGCTCAAACATATGGGTCCAGTAGCACAAAACATCTTACTCCAGATATACAACTATAGCTGGAAACTAGGCAGAGTCCCAGATATCTGGAAAAATGCTATAATCCACCCTATCCTCAAAAGTGGCAAGGACAAGAAGGACCCTCAGAGCTACAGGCCTGTCAGTCTGCTAAGCTGCCCCGCAAAACTGATGGAGAGAGTGCTAGCCACCAGACTTCAGTGGTTCCTAGAAACCAATCACAAACTGGATCCCGCTCAGACAGGCTACCGACAGCACAGAAGCACTGATGACCAGGTAGCATACCTTACACAGGACATAGAAAATGGCTTCCAGGAAAAGAAGAAAACCCTCACAGTCTTTTTCGATATGTCCAAGGCCTTTGACAAAGTATGGAAGGATGGCTTGATGCTAAAGCTCTTACATAGTGGAATAAGAGGCAGAATGTACTACTGGATACAAGACTTCCTATCCCACAGGCGGGCATCTGTGAAACTAGATGAAGCACATAGTCCCAGATTCAAGCTGAGAGCAGGAGTACCACAGGGTAGTGTGCTGTCTCCAGTCCTGTTCCTGATTTACATCAACGACCTACCTCAAACTTTACCCAGACATGTATCACATTCTCTTCATGCAGATGACCTAGCTGTGTGGTACACCTCTGAGTTCATTGGACCTGCTATATCAAAACTCCAGGAAAGTGTGAATAGTGTCATAAACTGGGCCAACAAATGGGACCTCAAAGTAAACAGGAACAAAACTGTAGCAACACTCTTCTCATTGTCTACAAAGGAGGAAAAGTTTACATTAAAATTCAACAATGATGCTGTTCCACGCTCCAATACTCCAACCTTCCTGGGAGTCAAGCTTGACAGTCGTCTGACATGGAAACATCACATACTAGAAACTAACAAAAAAGCCATGAGAAAACAAGGTGTGATGAAGAAATTGGCAGGCACCACTTGGGGAGCAGACAGTTGTATCTTGAAGCAGGTATACACCGGCACAGTCAGACCAACTCTCGAATACGCATCATCGTCATGGATAACAGCAGCCCATTCCAATAAACAGATACTAGACAAAACGCAAAATAGAAGTCTGTGTACAATTCTGGGAGCCATAAAATCTACACCTATTGTAGAAATGGAAAAGGCAGCCAACATCATCCCCTTAGAAGAAAGAAGAAGGACAAAAGCAATTCTACATGCTGAAAAAATGAAGAGAATGTTAAACCACCCATTACACGAAAAATTGGCAGCCAGGACAAAAAACAGAATAAAGCGCACAAGCCTAAACCATCTAACGAAGGAATTTGGAAAGTCATTCTCTTCACTACTTAACCAACAATGTACACATGAAGAGCTATCTTTCGATCTCTGGGACTCCGAATTATTGACACTCAATGTGTCAACATCCATCCCGAACCTGGGGAACAAAGATGCTGAGCCCCCTTTTGTGAAGAAAGCACTCACAATGGAACACCTCAACAACATGTTCCCACAGGACAGCTGGACAAGAATCTACACGGATGGATCAGCAAAAGAGGCAACTACGAATGGTGGGGCAGGTGTCTACATAAAACACCCAGATGCCACTACTGTGTCCCTAGCAGCCCCCACCGGACGAACTTGCTCTAACTACAAGGCAGAACTCTCAGCTCTATTGATGGCAGCACAGTATATGAACAATCTGCAAATCACCGCAGGCAGGATAGTTTTTCTCACTGACTCACTGTCAGCTGTACAGGCCCTTGAGTCCAAACCTACCGACAGCACACTACAAAGTATAACACAGGAACTTGCTATGTTGTCAAATAAGGCAGAAATTCACTTGCAGTGGATTCCGTCTCACTGCGGCATCAAAGGCAATGAAAGCGCAGATGCTTTAGCCAAGGAAGGCAGTAACAAACTACAGACCTACCAGCCACTATCTTTTCCTGAAGTCAAAACTCTCATTAAGAGAAAATCAGAAACAGACTGGAAAAACAACACTGGTTATGACTACGGAAAAGATTTTCTGAGGCACTTGAACAGAACAGACCAAGTCACAGTTTTTCGCTTACGCACTGGACACTGCAGACTCAATAAACACTCATATAAATTAGGTATGAGCCAAACAGCTCTCTGCCAGTGTCTTCGTGCTGAACAGACTCCAGAACATGTCCTGCAAGACTGTCCTCTCCTGGCGGAGCTGCGGAGCGACATATGGCAACACCCAGTAGAACTGACAACTAAGCTTTGGGGAAACCTAAGAGACCTTGAAAAGACATCCCAGTTTATGACCCACAGTGGATTATGCGCATGACCAGAGATCGCTGAAGAAGAAGAAACTTGTGTGTGTGCATGCACACCATCTGCACAGTGGAGGTTGGCTGAAGTAAATGAACATGTGCGGCCATGGGAGCCCAGTGCTGTCTTTGGGAATATTATATGGTGAGGTCCCAATATCTTGCTTGGCAAATCTTGATGTATCTTGGTAAAAATGCCCTGATAAGAGACAGCAAAATATGCCAGACATGCAGTGTATTGTTTATGTCTGCATTATTTAGAGTTAAAACTGAAAAACATTATTTAAATATACACCGTTGCTATTTAATTAATTCAATTCAGGCCATGATCATAGCCTTGACATCAGAGTTCATCCCCCGCCTAGTTTACTGGGCCTCCTACAGCAAAGATGGCTCTCTGGCTGGATACGTCAACTTTACCCTGTCCTACTTTAATACGTCCGACTTCAGACCAAGTTATAGGTCCGGAGATCTGGCACTTGAGTTTGTGCAGGATTGTAGGTATGTAGAGTGTAGGTTTGTAGACAGAATGTAGACATTTGTAGTCATGTAGAGCAGTGGTTCCCAATTAGTTCAGACCTGTGGGTTTTTCCACGATTTTTCATCTCATCTGGGGGGCTGCAAGATTTGGTAGGGAATTTCTTGGGAGTTCCCCGGACATTGCTGTGGTAAGGGGGGTTAGGATGAGCGTTAGTTTCCTTTTCATCTTTTTCTTTAGTTTGCCAGATTATCTGTAATGCTGTCTCTGTAATGAAGTTCACTGTGTTGTGTAATGCACTCAGCGACCCATTAAATTCATCTTGAACCTGTGCAGCAATGCTGTCGGGTCATAGAAATTCATCACGAAGGCTAAGTCATGATGTGAGAACACCGCTTCTAAACAGGGCTTAGTTGTAGTGACGAACGAACGAGCAAAAGTAACACACACTGGACATAGTGGCGCAATAAAAAACACTAAAAACAACCAACCCATGACACCTATGGAAATTAGTGTTTTAGGGTTAGTGTTAAATGAACACTGACTAACCCTATGCACGTGCGCACACACCACCATCACCACTCCCCATATAGGCTACTATAGAACTGTCCGGGGAACATCCTAAGAATTTCCTACAAAAATCCAGGAGCCTCCGAGATAGGGTGAAAAGCAGAAAATAAACGACCTATGGACCCCATAATTTTTAACGGTTACACCAAAAAATTTATTTTAATTTTGAAGTATTGGAATTGCAAAAATAAGATAGCATTCTAAATTTTTTGTTTTTTGAGGTTTAAATGTAATCATGTATCTCTTAAATATGTTCCGTAGACCGCAGGCATCAGCAGACTACAAAATAGGAACCACTGATGTAGAATTTAGAAATGTAAAGTTTGTTACTGAAACAATACTCATGTAGACTGTAGGCTTATAAAATGTAGATTGTAAGTATATGGAGTGTAGAAATTTAGACTATAAGCACATGTGGTGTAGAAATGTAGACTTCAGGCATATAATGTGTAGAAATATAGACTAGGCAAATAAAGTAGAATTATAGACATATAGAGTGTAGGCCGATGGTGTGGGCAACCATGCCTCGCCACAATCTGCGACCTGTAGCTACATGTATCAGTTCATGTGCTGACACCCTTCCGTGTCATGACAGAAGGCTGTCAAGAATCTTCTCAGGCTGTCTTCCTCTGTCTCTCTTTCCACAGATCTTTCCAGTGGTCACAACATGTTCCAGTTTCCCTCTTCTCATAACCTGACCCCAACAAATTGTGACTGTCTTTTTCTGATGTTTGTGATAAGTTGTCTTCAAGCAATCGTTTCTTTCAAAACATCTGGGTTGCTCTTCTTAGCTGTCCAACAAATTCTAAGGA